GGATTTTTATATCTTAACACTGTTTATCAGATTTTAGGAAAATTTGTTCATGATTTCCTCATATCTATTCCTGTGCCATTCTCATTTCCTTCTCTTCCTGGGACTCCCAGTAGGCATGTTTCATTTTACTTTATTTTATTTTATTTTACTTATTTATTTATTTATTTTGGTACTGGGGGTTGAACTCATGACTTCATGCTTGCCAGGCAGGTACTTACACCGCTGAGCTAAACCCCACGCCTCAGTAGGCATATTTTAGACTGGTTGTTTTCCTGCACTTTCCTAAGACTGTTCTCCAGTTTGGACAGTATTCATGGTAGGAAAGGAGACAATGTCTTGCTGTGTTTCCCAAGCTGGTTGTGGACTCCTGAGTTTAGGTGTTCTTCTCACTTCAGCCTCCCCAGTATCTGGGACTGCAAGTGCCTGCCACCATGCTCTCTATATTTTGTCTTCTATGATTTTAGACTCTTCTTTCACCTATAATCTGCTGTTAAATCTCATCAGTGAATTGTATTTTGGTTATTGAAGTTTTTTCAGTTATGGAATTTACATTTGTGTCTCTCCCCCACCCCTCTGCCCTTTGCCTCTTCTCTCTCTCCCTTTTTCTTCTCCCCTCTCTGCCTCCTCCTCTCTCCCTCTTCCCTTCTCCCTCTCTTGCTTCCCCTTCATCTGTCCCTCCCCCTCTCCCTTTCCCCTTCCTCTGCCTCCCAAATCTCACAGTCTAGCCTCAGAATAAATTATGTAATAGTACATAATACTAGTAATAATTATCATTATATAATAAATTATTAATTTGCTTAGTAAACATAACTATAATTATGAAATAATTATTATTACATAATTTATTTTAAATTAGTATTTATGAAGAATTTTTACTTACAAACTTTTTTCTCATGCACCTGCATTTCCCTCAATTCTGTATTGTTTCACTAATTCAGAGATAAGTAAGATTCAGAAACAGTTTTTCCTTATTTCACAAAAAGATAATTGAATCATAAAAATGATTAGCTTAGGTCAGGGAATCAATCAGCTGTAAAATTTAAGATTGATGCAAGTCATCCTGGTTCAGTGCCAAATTCATTTTAACTTCAATGTGGCATAACCTTGCTACAATATTATTCAGGGCTTTCTGACTGAGCTAGAGATTTAAAAAACAAACTAAGGCCTTTCTGTGAGTCAGGGTCTGCCATGGGGAATAGGAAAAGACTCCACAAGAAACCAAACCATGCCTTCCTATGAGCCAGCCACGGTGTGCTGGGCAACCAGAAGAACATCCCTCACCCTCACCTTCACCCCGTAAGCAGTTGGATAATTCGGAGGACTCAGGGTGAGATGGTAGCAGCTGAGGGGAGAGGAATAGCTTGATGCCTATATTGTCTGATTGACTCTGCAGGCCTTGGGCTGGGGGTCTGGGCATCTACCTGGAGGATGGCTGTGTGCATTGTGGCAACTGGGGGGAATTTCCTCTTGTCTTGTTTTTGAAATCCAATGTTTTGTTCCATTTTACTGTTTTGTCTTATTCCTGTATCTGGTAACCTGAGCAACTATTTTGAAGATAACAATATGCAGTATAACAACCATTGTTAAATATTTATCATCTTGTTTTGAAAACCTAAAATTAAAAAATAAAAGGCAAACTAATTGCAAAAGATATTATTTATAGCTGGAACTTGATCTGGAAAATAACCATACTTTTTTGAGATGATTAAAATATTATATGAGCAGGAATGGGGATTTAGCTTAGTGGCATAGGCTCCTGCCTTGCAAGCATGCAGTTGTGAGTTTGATCCCCAGTACCGATTAAAAAAAATATTATACGAGTATGACTGTCTTAGAAGATACTTATGTTGTTATTTTAAGATATGGTTTATCATTATTAGGTTTTTAAAGTTCAATTGATACTGACACAAAAACAGTGGAACAGAAGAGAGGATGTAGAAGCAACCCCAAGCACATTTTATCATTTGGTCTTTTACAAGGGGCCAAAATTATACACTGGCATCTTTAATATGTTGGGAAAACTGGCTATCCACATATAGAATGCTGAACCTAGACCCATATCTTTTAGCATATACGAAACTAAAATCAAAATGAATCAAAGAACTAAATATTAATATTTAATCTCTGGAAGAAAAAGTAGGCTAAACTCTTGAAGTTGTATGCTTAGACAAGGACTTTCTTTTCTTTTTTCTTTTTTCTTTTTCTTGTTGTTTTGAGACAGGATGTCACTATGCAGTTCAGGCTGGTCTTGAAATCACTTTGTAGCCCAAGCTGGCCTCAAACTCACAGTGATCCTCTTGCCTGAGCCTTCCAAGTTCTAGGATTACAGATGTGTGCCACCATGTCCGACTTGGCAAGGACTTTCTATACAGAATGCTAGTTGCAGAGAAAATAATACCAAGAATACTAAATTTAAAAGGTTCTGCAGAGTGAGTCAACAGAGTAAAAAGACAATCTATAGAACAGAAAAAAAGTTTTGTCAGCTATGCCTCAGGCAGAAAACTAATATGTATAATATATAAAGAACTAAAAAAAAATCAGATCCCCAAAATAAATAACTCAAAAAAATGAGCAAGGGAAATGAGTAGGCATATTAGAGAAAAAGTACAAATGGCCAATAAATATATGAAGAAATGCTAGGCATCACTAGCCATTAGAAAGATAAAAATTAAAATACCACTGAGATTACATCCTCTGAAAGAATGAGCATCATCAAAAAAGAAAAAAAATCAAATAATAACATGCTATAGAGGCTGTGGGAGAAAAAAAGAACTCTTCTACATTGTTGGTGGGAATGTAAACTGGTACAACCACTATGGAAATCAGTATGGCAATTCCTCAAAAAAATTAAAATTGAAAGTTCAATTTGACCCAGCTATTTCCCTCCTATGTATCATCCAAAAAGAGTTAAAGCTATACTATGATGCCCATTCTGGTTTGACTATTACCTTCTTTTGAAGTCCTGTAATGTCTCCAATGTTTTGGTTTTATTGGTTTTGTTCTTTACTGTTTTGTTCAATTTTATTATAACTGATGATATAGGCAGTTCTTTTTAAGATAGCAAGAGGCATTATGGTAACCACTGTTGATCACCTTGTATTCTGTTTTTACATTATGTACTGTGTCCATCCTTTTGATTTGACTGACTCTGTTTTTTATGTCACATTTGGTTTTATTCTCTTCAAAAAAAAGTAATAAGAACTGTGGGAGTAATAAAATCCAAAATGTGTAATTGTCATTGTAAAAAAGAGAGGAAAAGAAAGTGCTCTAAAGGATATAACTGCATGTATATTTAAGCGTATGATAGATAACCATATTACTGAGTTTTTGTTGGATCATTGAACAGAACTATTTGCAGTCTCACTGTTTGAATGTCCACTTTATATGCTTTAATTTTGTAACTTGAACAACTATTTCTAAGATGACAATATATAATCTATTAACTAGTGATTTCCTACTGTTTAATGTTTTTTGAAATTCTGTATAACTTGTACTCTTTTTCGTTTTTTTTTCTTTTTCTCCTTAAATAAAATTTTAAAAATGAATTGCAGCTATCATATTACAATTATACATGTATACCCATGTTTATAGCAGCACAATTCATGAGAATTAAATTTTGAAAGTGGCCTATATATCTATCAGCAAATGAAAGATAAAGAAAACAAAGTACACACAATGGGATACTACTCTGCCATGAAAAAAGATAAACTTGAGTCAGTTGTAGGAAAATGAATGCACTTTGAGACCATAATGTTAAGTGAAATATCTCATGGTTTTTCTTTTATGAAAAACTCAAATTATAAGTAACAAGTAAAATAAAAGATAATAGAAAATAGGTCTTTCTCAGATAAGAAGGGAGTCAAGAGTTTGAAGGGGATATAAGGAAAAGAAAAAGGGGATTAAAAAAAGCAATTAGGATATGTTATATACATATACTGGGCCAGGAATATAGCCCAGTGGCACAGTACCTGCCTGGCAAACACAAGGTCCTGAGTTTGATTCCCGGTACAAAAAAAAAAGTTGTAATAATACATGTACCAACTCCACACAAGGAATGCAAACTATACTGCAAACAGATCCTAATAAAAAATGGTAATGTTATCAACCTGATTTACAAAGTGAAACTTGCAGACATTGGCTAGCTATCTTTATTCTTCAGTTCTTCATTATTATACCAATGTGGAGGGGAAATGAAGGATAACATTTTTATGAATCAGGAGACTTGATTTTTTTCCTTTGCAATATGAGTGCTAGGGGATGCAGAAGAAAGGGCATACTTGGATAATTTTTTTGATGTGGACAATGCATGCTTCACTGATGCTTTATAGATGTAGTTCAGTACTAACACATAACCATACACCAAGTGGTTGATTCACAAAAAGAAATTGGCAAGAGTATCAGTTGGTAAAGAATATCTCATTTAAAAATACACTGTGTTAGGTACATACCTGAAATAGTCACTCTTGAATTTTTCTGTTTTCAACTCTAAATTAGTTCACTTACTAGATTTGTGTTTATTAAATAATGAACTGATTTATTTAAAAATGCAAGACTTTTTAACCAGAACTACCAATTCTGAAGATTCCTGGTATTAAACATGACCTGTGGAAATTAATTGAAAATTCACATTGTTTTAGCTAATGTGAAAAAATGAAAACATGAGATAGAATGTCTTAACCTCAGAAAATAATTCTAAATGTTCAAGCAATTTGCTGATGCATAGCCATTTGTAGTCATATTTTAAATTTTTTCAGGTTATCTTTTCATCAGGTAAAAGCCTTCTTGGCTTATCAGTTTAATAAATAATTCCAGAGTCTCTGGTGCTTATCCAAAGTGCTTGAGCCATTTTGTTGTCATTTCTTTTTATTTTATTTTACTTTAATTAATTAGTTTATTTATTAGTACCAGGGATCAAACTCAAGACCTTGTGTTTTGCCAAGCAGGCACTTATACCACTGAGCTAAAACTCCGGCCCCTTTGTTGTCATTTCTGTTACCCAGAAATACAGTCTGTACTGCAGGGGTTCTCTGCAAAGCTGATTTGGACGTCCGAGGAAAGCAGCTGTTCTCGGAGCACATCAAGGGCAACACCCTTCCAGGTGACTTTTGAGGCAAGTTTTGTTTTCTTATAACTACTGATGATTTGATTCTTATTTTTCTACACATCTGATATTAAGAAAGAAAAGCCTGCTTCCATTACAGCTCCAAGTTGAAGTAAAATAAATATTGACTCCTAGACTTGCCTGTATAGGCATGTCACATTGGAGTTTCTATAATACTGGTGTGTGTCCTAGTCCAGTAACTTGTGATCGAAGGAGATGCATTACTCTCTTGGGCTGCCATAACAAAATGCTATGGACCTGGTGACTTAAACAACAGAAATTAATTTTCTTATAGTTCTGGAGGCTAGAAGTCCCAAGATCAAAGTGCCATCAGGGCCAGGCATGTTGGCTTGTGCCTGTGTTCCCAGATTCAGGAGTCCAGGAATGCAAGACTAGCTTGGGTAACATAATGAGAGCCTCTGTCAACAGCAACAAAGTGGGATTCGGGTTGCATTCTGGTGAGGCCTATCTTCCTGGCATGTGGACTTCTGTCTTGAAAACCCTTACATGGTCTTACATGGTCTTCTCTCAATGTCTGGGTGGAATGAGGTCTCGATGTTCTTATAAGAAGAAGTACCTTAGCCAGGCATGGTGGCACTCACCTGTAATTTCACCATTCAGGCTGAGACAAGATCACCAGGAGTTCGAGATCAATGTGGACTACATAGGGAGTTCAAGGCCACCCTGAACTGCCTAAAGAGCCCCTATCTTCAAAAAACAACAGCAACAACAACAACAACACAAAAACCAAAAAAAAAAAAAAAAAAAAAAAAAAAAAACCCATGGAGCCATCTTATTTACTTTCTTAATACCATATTTCCAAAAGCAGATTTAAGAGTTGAGGCTTCAACTTACGGGTTTTTTTTTCAGTACTTAGGATAGAATCCAGGGCTTTCACACTGAGCTATCTATCTCTATCTATCTATCTATCTATCTATTTATATTTTTGAGACAAGGTCTCACTAAATAGCCCAGGGTAGTCCTCAATTCATAATCCTCTGCCTCAGCCTCTTGAGTATGCCCTTCCATCCCTGGTTTTCAACATAATGAATTTTGAGAGACACAATTCAGTTCATAACAAGTATGTGATATGATTTTGAAAGGATACTCATAATACTTCTCAGAGTACAAGTCACAGACAAAAAAGGATTCTCTCCACAAACAAGTAAGAGTATGAAACTTTCTTTTCAGTACACAAATAAGTGGATAAACAAATTAGCATTTATTCTTAAATATTTTTGTAAAAATAGAATAGGTAATTTGGGGAGTTATTTGAATTTCTCCCTATTTTCTCTGTCATGCACACACATTTTTTTAGTTCCTTGTATAAGAGAAACTGTTGGGGGCTGGGGATTTAGCTCAGCAGCATAAGCTATTTAAGCTTGTGCACCTGATTTACTCACTTAACACTGTGTTCTAAAGTTGCATTCATTTGGCTAAAAATGCCTCGTTTGTTGGTCTTTATGGTAGAGTAGTATTCTATCATCTATAAATACTGTACCACATTTTCTTATCCATTAGTATGCTGATGAATATATATACTGTTTTCAAGATTTAGTTGTTACAGATTTTGCTGCCTTAAACATGGGTATGCATATATCCTTGTAATATGAATTTTGAGAAGACACATAGAAGGAGGATAGCTGAATCAAATGGTATTTCTAGTTTTAATTTTTAATAGATTTCTGCATTAATTATACTAGTTTGTATTCCCATTAACCATATAGAAAGGCTCCTTTTTCCCATATCCTTGCCAACATTTGTTGTTACTTTTTGATGATGGCCAATCTTTCTGGTGTAAGATGGTATAGTTTTAATTTGCATTTCTCTAATGGCTAGTGATATTGAACATTCTTTCATGTGTTTATTGGCCATTTGTACTTTTTCTGAGAAGTGTCTGTTCATTTTAGTTGCCCATTTTTAAGTTGGGCCTTTTATTTTGGGGGTCTACTTTTTTTGAGTTCCTCATATATTCTAGATGTTCAACCTCTGTCTGAGGAATAGGTGGCAAAATGTTTCCCATTCTGTAGGTTTTCTCTTCACTTCACTCCATTGGTTGTTTCTTTCTTTCTTTCTTTTTTTTTTTTTTTTTTTTTTTTTGGTATTTTTACCGGTACCAGGAATCAAACTAATGACCACATGCTTGTAAGGCAGGCGCTTATGCCGCTGAGCTAAATCCCCAGCCCTCATTTTGCCATGCAGAAGCTTTTTAATTTGGTATGATCCCATTTGTTGATTCTTAGTGTTACTTCTGGTGCCATTGGTTTCTGTTCAGAAATTCCTTGCCTATGCCTGTCTTCAAGAGTTTTACCTGTTTTTTCTTCTAGCAGATCAAGTGTCTGTATAGTTCTTTGATCTACTTTGATTTTAGTTTAGTACATGGTAAGATATGTGAGTCTAGATTCAATCTTCTGCATGTGACTATCCAATTTTCCCAGCAGTATTTATTAAAGAGGCTATCTGTTCTCTGTATTTTAGGTGATTCCTAATGTGCAGATAAACTTGGGAACCATTAAAATAATTCTTTATCTGAATTTGGATCTCTTGATAAAGAAAATAAAAATTGGGTCCTAGTGTGGGTCCTGTTTGGATACATTTTTATTCTGTTGGTTTAGAGATCTATTTATTGATTTACTTGATGTACAGATTTATAAGAGTAACAGTTGAGTTCTCCTCTTTTAAAAATTTTCTGGTCTCTTGTTTTTCCTTCCCAAGGTGGTAGAGATGCAAAGAAGTAGAATGCTATGGGTATAGTATCAGAGCAACAGATACTCTTAGCTGTGCCTTATCTTTCTTAGGAGAAAGGAAGGTAAATAATCGGGAGCAATTAATGGTTAGTCAGCTCTGAAACTAGTAATCTCAAGTAGCAATAAAAAGGTGATCCCAGTGAACCAAGGAGAGCAATTCTAGGGAATGAAGTCATGTATTTTAGCCAGTCTGAACAAACAAGGATAATTTGCATTCCTAACATTTATAAATATTTAAGCCTCCTGACAGCACTATGAAGTAGATAGGACAAGTATTACTCCATGTTACAGATAAGAAAACTGAGATTGAGAGAATTCGAGTGACTTTCCTATCATAAAAAAAAGTGAAGTGAAAAAAGTTGGAACTTGAACAAAGTCTGACTCATCTAGGTCAGTGCTGTTTGAATATTTACTTACTCATTCACAAACCTGTGTTTTTGAAGTAAGTTACACTGAGCCAGATACACTAAGTCATGTTACTTGATTCCAAAGAACACAGAATGTAAAAGGAAAGACTGATGTGTAAAAAATTAATTACAATATGGTGTGATATAGACCATGACAGAGATAAGCGCTGAGTACTGTGTAGCACAGAGGAAGGTTACCTAACCCAGTGGAAAGGGGTCAAAGTCTAGAGGGCCTGATGAGAGTGAAAAAACAGATTTACTGAGCATAAGGGTGGGTATGACAAACACTTGAGAAAGTTGAGCAAGATGTTGCTAAAAGAGGAGAACTCAACTGTTACTCTTACAAACTCTTATAAAGTTTCTCTTTCTATTTCCTTATTGTAAAAAAATATTTTCCTTAGAAAAATCAAAGTATGACCAAAGCAGACATTCATTCATTCATTCATTCATCCATTCATTTTGGGTTTTTGAGACAGGGTCTCACTATGTAGTTCAGGTTGGCCTTGAACCCACCATGTAGCCCAGGCAGCCCTGGGACTCACAGCAGTCCACCTACTGCAACTTCCCAAATTCTGGAATTATAGGTGAGTGCCCCATACCTGGAAAGCAGATATTTAGAGTATACATAATTTGGCCTGTCAAGGAATTCACACTTAATTCTTTCTTGTACTTAATTCTTCTCTTATGAGAGTGGGACATTTTAGTACAAATTTTACAGAATGGGCCAGTTCCATTCTCAGATAGCTGAAAGTGAGTGATGTCGAAGTCATTGTCATGATTCAGTATTGTGTTTTGCTTCTCATTGCTGAAATCATTTTTTAAAAAATAAATTTAAGTTCCTTGCTTTTGTAGATATGTGAGACTAGAGTTTCTAACACACAGCGGTCAAAATTTGTGTGTGTGTGTTAGTGTGTGTGTGTCTTCCTCCTCTCCCCTGCCCTTTTTCCAATTCTGTGAATAGATCTTAAAAGGGGCTGTGTGATGTGTCTTAATTATCCTCTGCTGACCTGACATAATGATCACTGTATTCTAAGTTAGATGCCAATCCTTATTATGGGTAGTAAAGGAACACATTGTTATATGAATTGTCTTTCTCTTCGAACTCTTCTAGTTCAGAATGATCTTATTTATCCCTGAAACCTCAAGTATACATAATAAGCAATGTAGGTGCTTTATGAATGAATAAGTGAGCATATATTGAGTGGTCACAAATGAGTACTGCCTCTCAGATTCCATAAAAATAACGATGTTTAATGTACCACGCATAAGGTGTGTCTGTGTATGTGGTGCTGGGTATTGAACCCAGGAGCTTGTATGATGCTAGGCAACAACTCTACCACTGAGCCACTCCCCAGCCTATCATTCAGATGTCTGCACAGAAATGAACATTTTGGAGCAGTAGCATCACACAGTAGATTATGGACTTTGGAGTTAGTCAGATATGGATTTGAATTCCAGAGCTGCCACTTAACTAGCTGTGTGTGACCTTGGATAAACTAACTAGTGAGTCTCAGTCTTTTCTTTAAAACGAGGATATTTTCTGTTTGCACATAAACTGTTCATCATGTAGCAGGTGTTTAATAAATGGTAGCTGTCATCATTGTTAATTTTAGCCCCTGCAAAATGAACTTTTTTATTTAGTTGCCATACTGTTAGATATAATTAGACCTTTCTATGATAAACCCTATAATCTCCAAGTTACAGAGATTCAAAACTGTTCCAAGAAGTTGTTTGGGAAGTATCAAGCACAGAGTGCTTTTAAGAGACCATTGATTTTCTATTGTTTAAACATTCTGTGGTAAAAAATTTAAAGTGAAGTGTATGACTATCATGTGTACATGGCAGTTGTTATTTAATTCCCACTATTTACAAACATGAATAAATCCACGTTTTAGACTTTCCTAATAATCCCTTAACTATTTAATAATATTTTCCAAATATCTAACAATTCCCAAATATTATTTCACACTTCTTAACCTCCTTTTCAGTGGATTTATAAAAATATAATCATTTATTATTTATTAGATATTTTTATGTTTCTTCCTTATTGTGTTAATGAGTTTTTTGAGGACTACAACCAATATTTTTCCTCCTAAAACTATACCTAGTACCTGGCTCAGTGTGTTCTGAGTCACTAAAAAGGAGTTACTGATTTCTGACTGGGCTTTTATTTTCTAGGAGACTAGTTCTACCTTTAGTTTTAGATATGTTGTATTAAATTTTAAAATTTATTAGGAAAATGTTTAATAGAGCACAGAGCATAGAGCACAGAGATGTGGTAATCTGTAATCCCAGCACTCTGGGAAGTTGAGGCAGGAGGATCACAAGTTCCAATTCAAGCTAGACAATTTAGTGATTTTGTAAGACCTTGTCTCAAAATAAAGAGATCTGGGAATATAGCTCAGTTCAAAGGCCCTGAGTTCAATCCCTAGTTCTATTCAGGAAAAAAAAAAACAAAAAAGATTTGGAGCCAAGTCAACCTGGGTAATCTTGGATAAACTGAACATCTTTGTAACTTTTTCATTATAAAATGTGGGTTATATGTGTGTACTTAATAGTTTTTGTGGGGTTGGGGATTTAGCTCAGTGGCATAAGTGCCTGCCTTGCAAGTACGCAGTTGTGAGTTTGATCCCGGGTACCGATTTAAAAAAAATAGTTTTTGTGAAGATTAAATGAAGTAATACCACATCTAAAGTAGAGAAATGCATAATTAAATGATAAATCTTAGCTGGGCACAGTGGCACATCCCTATAGAACTGGAAGACTAAAGCAGGAGGGTCATGCATTTGAGCCTAGTCTAAGTAATTTAGCAAAACCCTGTCTCAAAACTTTTAAAAGGGGTGGGGATGTAGCTCAGTGCAAAACCCCTGGGTTCAACCCCTAATATTAAAGAAAGAGGGAGTGTCCTATTAGAAAAACAATGGGCAATCGATCATAAAAAGACTTACGGTCAAATTCTGTCTCTGTCACTAAAGAACTGAATGGCCATAGACAAATTGCCTATATTTTCTGAGGTACATCCCTACCAATGTTTTTATGTGTAAATTTGGGATAGTAATACTTACCTTATAGGATTGTTCTGAGATAATATGTATATATTGCCTATACAATGCTTCATACATTGTAGCCATTCAACAGGTGGTATCCATTAGTGTTACTATATATAATGTATGCTTTCAGATATAAAGAACCTTAAAAGCACTCTGTAGGCAAGGCATGGCAGCAAGGCAGGAGGATTGTTATAAGTTCGAGACCAACCTGGGCTACAAAGTGAGCCCAAGGCCAGCCTGAACTGCATAGCAAGACCCTGTCTCAAAAAGACAAAAAAAAAAAAAAAAAAAAAAAAAGAAAAAGAAAAAAAAAGCACTCTGTAAGGTAGATAAGGCATCTATATTGCATGTCATGAAAAGAAAAACATAAATATTTTAATATTAAATTTATTGAGACCCCATGAGGTTAATACAAGTTACCTTTGACCTCTGCAGTTAGAAGAGGTGCTCAAAGTGATGTCCTTAGCTTCTAGACATTTATTAGTATGGTAAACTACTGCTTGAGTAACCTTGATCACTGAGATTCCTGCACATGAATTTTCAATTTCTTCTCTAAGAGCTGTGAATGTAGTAGGTTTTCTGCAATATATGACATCCTCTAGGGTTCCTCCTACCCTCTAGAATAACACCTGCTGTTGAAATTTATTTTTCTGAAATGGGTATACATTTTTTGAAAGACTCTGTGTGTGTGTGTGTATGTGTGTGTTTAGATATGTTTATAAAGATAAATACTGGTAAGTATCTCATGTAACTCTTCCCTTTTGTCGTGCTGGCTTCCTATTTTTCCTGTCTTCATCATGGTTAAGTGTTTGTTGCCAGTTACTATGATAAGTGTCTGCATATACATTTTATCCTTGTTTTTCAGATTAGGAATTGAGGTCTAATTATGGCAGCCATTGCTAATTTAATAACTTCTTGCCTTGAAGTCCTACCATGCTTTTGTTCTTCTGTTTCCATTGGTTCTACCTTGTTATGTCTTATTAGATTTTAATATGTGTGATAGTATAAACAAATTTTTTTTTGTCTTTTTCCTTTTTATCGGTACTGGGGATCGAACTCACGACTGCCTGCTTGCAAGGCAGCCCCCCCCCTTTTTTGGTCTTTTTCATAAACAAATTTTTAAGGAAAATGAGATTTTATATTAGCCCTTGTTCATTATTGGTTATTTGATTTTGAATGTCCTGTAATACTTTAATTCACTTGAATGGTTTTATACTATTTTGCTATGTTTGATACCATTGTGTGTGAAGATCTGCTCAACTATTTCAAAGAAAAGAGACATTACGGTAGCTACTGTTGATATGCGGTTGTCTTGTAAAGTGCTGTGTTGCATTGTTTTGTTCTGATTTGCTTTGTTCTGTTCTCTTTTGTTTTATTCTCTTTAAAATAAAATAAAATTTTTTTTAAAAAAGGAATTGAGGTCTAGAGCCACGAAGTAATTTATGTTCTATGCTAATTTAAGTAATTTTGAGGTTTCTGCTGTATAGCTTTTTCTTATAGATAAATGTTTGGAGGAATGGAATGATGTTAAAAAATAGGTTCCTTTGCTCCTTTGAACTCCACTCAGGTGCTTATAGAAATTGTCCAAAAGCTTTACAGGGTAGTAAACACTGAGGTTTTTATTAATTTATTTGAAATACAGTGATACATCAGTTTATGAACTTAGCTCTTTCCACACTGTTGGTCACAAACCGAATTGGACTAGAACTGAGCCAGATTTCCTCATAACCTTGAACCTAATTATTGGATTTGAGTCAGTTTAGTTTGCACCCAGAATTGCGGAAAGAATTAAGTTTGTGAACTGAAATAGTGCTGTGTATAATTTGTTCCAAAAGGAGATTTTGACATTGTGGTATTTATACTGATAGAACCTACAATGAAGGTTAACTGGGGTAACATAGCACCATTTCTAGAATAGAGAAATCCATCATTAAATGGCATTTCTTAGCTGGGGCACCGTGGCACATGCCTATAACCTCAGCACTCCTTGTTTCGCAGATTAGAAAATGAGGTCTAGGGCAGTGAAGTCACTTATTTTCTATGTAAATTTAGATAGTTTTTATAAGCCTAATACTGGAACACAAGTCTTTTGAATTCGTGTGTCTCCTAAAGTTACATGAAATAGGTACTCTAACCCAAGAAGTGATGGCTAGATTGCTTTTTGTGTATAATTCTCACTTCAACGATGTTTCTTCTGCAATGTCCAAAAAACTATGAAGTATAATTAATTTTATAAGAAATACCATATTTCATTCATTTTTGCACTTGAGTTTATGTACAAAGTATGATTAAAACATGGTGTTTAAATTTTAAAAACAATTTACTACTGTAAAAGCCACATTGCTATTAACCTCTTTCAGAATATCCTGATCACAGTTTGAACACACTTGTCTCAGTCTTGACATGTTCTGAAGCATTTCTGGAAGTGCTCTTTAATAAATGTCTTTAGTTGCACCACGGTGGCTGCCTTAATGTCCTGAATTGATTCAAAACATTTACCTTTCACTGTCATTTTGCCTTTAGGGACATGCTGAAAGTCACATGATGCCAGGTCTGGTGAGTAAGGTGGATGCAGACACACTGTAATGTTTTTACAAACCTGCCTTTCCATTTGTTGGCACTCTACAGCAGCATTCACTGTTTCTGATACTTGATGAGGACTTCCAGGACTGCTTTAGGAAGTGACAAAAACAATGGGAATATTTTTAGGGAGATTAAGGCAATGAATCTTACTGTGATAACTTTTGTAAAAAAAATTTCAACATTAACTGTATTCCAAGCACATCTCATATATGTGATGAGTGTTTTTGTTGTGTTTTGCAGATTCTTGAAAAGCCCAGAACTTTCATGACAGATTGTCTGGTTATAAAACATTTTTTACATAAAATCATCATAGTACACCACAAGGTAAACTTTTCTATAGTACAATGATATTTTTCTTGTTTAGTCATGTTTTTAAGAGACCTTTACTCTGTAGAACATGGAAGGTTGCAATTTTCATTTTTCAAGGAAGATGATTACAACTTTTAATTTACAATTGATTTGGTTTCTGTGCCCTTCTAGCAATTCTTTTCTTTTCCTTCTTTCCTTTCTTTTGTGTGTATGTGTGTGTGTGTGTGTGTGTGCGCGCATGCATGCACGCACGCACGTGGGCATGGTGGGAATGGAACTCAGGACCTTGTGTATACTAAGCACACACTCTACCCTTGAACTATATTCTTTTTTGTTTTGTTTTGTTTTGCCTTTTTCCTTTTTATCAGTACTGGGGATCAAACTCAGGACTGCCTGCTTTACAAGACAGGCACTTATGCCGCTGAGCTAAATCCCCAGCCCCTGAACTATATTCTTAATCAAGGCAATCTATGATACAACTAAGAAGACTCTGAATATAGAGAGCCTTCTTTTAGATTATTTTCCCCTTCTTAACTGCTTTATTGTATCACTTTAGATACAGTTTTTCCCTCCTCTTACTCATTTTGCTGTTAGATAATAAATCTTATGGATAATCACTTCTTTCTCTGAAGTGACTGTAAAAGGAAATAAGTAAGTTAGGATAAAAGTATGTTAAACACTGAAGAGCTAATTTTTTATTACCTGCAGTCAAATACATTTATAAAGGTGAACACAGTTAAATGTATCGTATAATTTCCTCCTTTTCTCATGTGCTCTTCCTACTTTTTCTGTCTTCAGCAGGGTTAAATGTTTATTGTTTGTAGTCACTGTTCTAAGTGCCTGCACACGCTCCACTAACCCTCACATCACCCCTCGTGAAGCAAATTTTGCCATCCTCATCCTCATTATAGCTGAAAAACTATAGTACAGAAGTTAAGTAATTAGTCAGGATTTGAATCCAGGCAATCTGGCTCTAGAGTTCTTTTTTACTTTATGTTATGTAGGAAGAAAAATGTAGACTGAAGGTAGGAAATGATAAGAACAGTGATATAAATTGGAGAGAGGACGTGAGTCAGATGGAGATGGGAAAGGAAAAGCAAAGAAAAAAACCAGAATGGTCCACATATGAAAAATAATAGAAATAAAATTTGATATCTTAGGAGGGGAGGGATAAGTTGGATGAATAGCAAAGGGGAAAGATTTCCTGATAATTTGAGACCTCCTGGAATTGTAGTGTAGGAATATGAACACAGTATTAAGTGTATTCTGTGAAACTGTGAGTATAAAAATGCAATAAAGAATATCCTCCTTCTCCAGGTTTGTCTATGTTGTTGCAAATGATAGGGTTTTTTTTTCCATTTTAAGGCCGAATAGTATCCTATTGTGTATATATCACATATTTTTATCCATTCAGATAATCCAGGCACTGAAAGACAAATACTACATGGTTTTTCTTATACCTGGAATCTTAAGTTGACTTAACAGAAGTATAAAATAGTGGTTACTAGGGGTTGAGGGAAGGTAAGAGGGAAGAAATAGGGTCAAAGGGTGCATTTTCAATCAGGAGGAGTAATTTCTAGGGATCTACTGCTGTTCCAGAACAATCCCGTTCTACCGTGTGAGGATCCTCAGCTGCTGTGAGACCTAAAGAAGAGAGAGACAGATAAGATTTCATATAGTTCAGTGTACTGCGGGAACTTAATGATGGAAGTGTTGTTCTGTTTGGCAGAAAGACCAGTTGGATCCTTAGAGTTGGGGTCAGAAAGGGGCATACATATGAGTTAAGACAAAATGATTTCATCTTACCTAAAGTATATGTGGTCAGCTTAAGATACAAGTGTCGGGTACATTTGTGGAGCAGGATCTAGTTGTAAGTAAAGCTTCACATATGACACTAACGATTTTATCTATTATAGTTTTCTAGTAATGTATGTAGGGAAAGCCATCTAGGGTTACTCTTGAAAAGTCCTAGTGATTACCGCTCAAGATGACTAGACGTGTCAAACTTAATTCATACAGTGACACAGCAGGGTGATTACAGTCAATAATGATACATATTTCAAAATAGCCAAGAGAGTAAATGTCTCAACACAAAAAGTAAATTAAGTGATAGCTATGTTAACCTGCATGATATAATTACTCCATGTAGTATACATATATCTAAATATCACACTGTATCCATTTCTGTGTATAATTAGGAATTTATCAATTAAAGTATTTAAAAAAATAAAGAATATCCTTTTCCTTAGAAATTAGGTGTGAAAGTTTTTAATCTGTCTTGGCTCGTGAAATCTCATGCCTCATTTATTGTTTTGTAGCTCAAGTTTACTTTCAGTGTAAAGGTAAATGGATTCCTTTCCACAGAGATCTTTGGGTAAGTAAATCCTTGACTGAAGACAATGCCATAGCTCTGCACTTTCTCTCACTTCTTTTTTTAATAAGTATTTATTTATTTATTGCTTATTTTTTTATCGGTACCAGGGATCAAACTCATGACTGCACGTTTGCAAGGCAGGCACTTAATGCCACTGAGCTAAGTCCCCAGCCCTTCTCTCACTTCTTACTACCCTATTACTAATAGGTTCACAGTTTGATTTCTTGACCTAAAGTCATGTTGAAACTAATTTTATGAACCCTCCGACATTTTCTTACTGTGTATTATCCATTAACGAGTAAGTAGACTTATCTAAATCTTTTTATATTTTCCCTTTTCACTAGAGGAGGTAAACTTAAAAATTGCCATTATCTTTTTGGTTGTTTCATTACTGAATTCCAGTGATCTCTGGAGTAGAAAAAGTCATGGGTCAAAATTTGTATCAAAGCTTGGGTTGGGAAATGGTTTACCACCCTCCTCCTTTTTTTTGCTTTGTAGGGTAGAAAATGAACCCACTTTGAAACTGTGGAATGGAATTGCTGTTGTTGTAAACTGTCAGCATTATGTAAGGTGAAGGCAAAATCATTCTGTGTGTGTGTGTGTGTTTTACTCTCTTATATTACGACTATGAATATGATATAAATTGGAAATAGTCTCCCTTATTTATTTTTATATTATTATTATTATTATTATTATTATTATTATTATTATTATTACTTTAAGATGAGGTCTCACTACGTTGTCCAGGCTTGTTTCAAACTTTGGAGTGGAAGTGATTCTCCTGCCTCAGTCTCCTGAGAATCTGAGACTACAGGTGTACACCATACACAGTTACCCCTGTATTTCTACATGTGAGGTTTCAGCCTCTTTCTTTTCTTTTTCTTTCCCTGCCCACCTTCCTGCCTGCCTGTTTTTCTCCTCTCCTCCTTTCCCCCTTTCCCCTCTTAACCCTTTCCTCTCCCCTCCCTCCTCTCCCATCCCCATTCCTTTTTTCTCATCCCTCCCTCCATCAGCCCCTCCCTCCCTCCTTCTTTCCTTCCTTCTTTCTTTCCTCTTTTTCTTTGTTTCTTTTAAAATCTTTTTGAGACATTGAACTCATTGTATAGCCTAGGCTACCTTAAATTTGTGGCAATCCTTTTGCCTTAGCTTCCCAAGTACTGGGGTTACAAGGTGTACACCATCACACTCAGCTCAGTTCATTCACCTTCTTTATAAGAAAAGCAAAAATATTTTAATTTATTTATGTTAAGCATTATTGTTATTATTATTATTGGCTCCTTGAATATATATTAATTGGCCTGAGAATGCATTTTTTTTCTCTATGCCTTGTTTTCTTCTGTAAATGGAATGAAATAAATCCTGTTAATTCCAGTACCATTTAGACATAAGAAGAGATGAATTTTAAAGTTTACTTAACTCTTGAATAGTATGAATCCAGTGGTACTTGTTTATATATATTTTTTGCATCAGCATTGCACCTGAGTTTGGAAATCATCTCTCTCCTACATCTACCTTTTTCAGACTCCAAAAACATAAGTCTATGGAGGACATGGTAAATAATCTGGACAGACAGAAACCATTTCCTTGTCTTCCTTTCCCATTCAGCTCCACAAAGTCCAAAGTGAACATGAACTATTTTAGGGAATACCTAATGTATGCTTAAATCTAATTTATTCTTTATGTAGTAGATTCCGCTTTCATTTATATGCTCTGAGCCAGTACCAGTCACCATAGCATCTTTTTTTAAAAATTTTTTAAAAATTTTATTTAAGGAGAAAAAGAAAAGGAAAAAAAAAAGCAGAGAAAGGGTACAAGTTATACAGATTTACAGAAAAAAATAAACAGTAGGAAATCACTAGTTAATGGATTACATTTTGTCATCTCAGAAACAATTGTTCAAGTTACAAAATTAAAGCTTATAAAGTGGACATTCCAACAGTGAGACTGCAAACAGTTCTGTTCAATGATCCAACAAAACTCAGTAATATCATTATCTATCTTATACACTTAAATATACATGCAATTATATCGCTTAGAGCACTTTCTTTTCCTCTCTTTTGTACAATGACAATTACACATTTTGGGTTTTGTTGCTCCCACAGTTCTTATTACTTTTTTGGAAGAGAGTAGAACCAAATGTGACATAACAGAACAGAGTCAGTCAAATCAAAAGGGTGGACGTAATAGATAATGTAAAAGCATAATACTAGGTTATCAACAATGGTTACCATAATACCTCCCGCTATCTCTAATAGAATTGCCTATATCATCAGTTATAATAAAATTGAACAAAACAGTAAAGAACAAAACCAACAAAACCAAAACATTGGAGACATTATAGGTCTTCAAAAGTAGATAATAGTCAACCAGAATGGGCGGCATAATGAATCCTACTATCTTCACAGCTGTTGCCTAAACTTTTGAACCTGGTACTATCAAGCAAAACAGAATAGAGGAACGTCAGTCAAAACAAGATGTCACCATAGCATCTTAAGCCTTAGAGAAACTGCCCATTGGTTTTTGGTCTGTTTTCTTACTCTTGCCCAAAATTACACCTCAGATGAAAACCTTTTTTATTCTTTAATCTTTAATATCCAGGCAACAAAACCCCACCCCATATCTTTCTTTACTATTCTGATACATTCATCCAGTCTCTTCAGGTGGACAGTTGCATTATCATAGCTTTGTAATGGAGAGTTTACAACTGAGCCAGCATCTGTGAACATGTTTCCTTGGGTGATCTGATTACTCAGAGGAAGAGGAAAAATTTTATTAGTATTTCCTTTCTGCTTAGAAAAGTGTCAGGAAAATATTCAAATACAAAATTTCACTACATTTTTTCCCTAGGAAACCTGTTTTTCTTTTCTTTCTTTCTTTCTTTTTTTTTTTTTTTTTTTCGCTCCTATCAAACAGTAACCTCAGACCCATGCAGGGGAAGATGTAATATTTCTGAGAGCAGACTTTTAATTATCATGGGGCCAGTTTTAGGTCATTTGTGATTCATAGGCCCCATTGCACAAGGCTAATCTTTGAATGATCTTGTAAACTTCTGCTCAGAACTATAGAGTAATGTTAGTGGAGAAAATACACTTCTGAAAGTAAGAAACGGCTATTAGTGATAGAAAAAGCAAGAGCCATAATATCCTCACTAAAATGCCCATTTTTCCATTCTTTCCTACTGCAGAGATTCTCTGAGACACAAGATACTTATGTTACTAAAACTGAAATTATAGGTTATATGGTTATGCGTACGCCAGATGTTATAAAAAGAATTTTGAATGTCCTTTTAAATAATTTCTTAAGAGGAAAAAAAGTTAAATTTGTCTCATCTATTTTTTGACAGTGGACTAAAAATCAGCACAACTGAATCACACTGTAGCAGGATCCACCCTGTGCCAGGACATCCAGTAACGCTCTCAATTCCTGAAGATGTGGCTGGCATGGACTTGTTGGGAGATCTGATAATGACTCCAGCTGCTGCTCTCTGCCCCAGCCCCAAGGTCTTTTCCAGCCAGCTGAACAGGATTTCATCGGTTGCCATATCCTTTTGATGACATGTTCCATTCAGTTAACTTTTGAAGATGGATTTGTTATATCCTAACTTTAGGAAAGCATTTATATATGAATTATTTGTCTAGCAACCACATATGGTTTGTATAGAACATGAAATCCAGTGTGATCACTAAGCTTAAAAATATTGCCAGGGAACTGATAACTATAAAGCGTGACACACATGTCATGCATTTTTCATATAAACCAGTATGACTGCGGTGTGCAGTAGGTGGCCAAGGAGAGATGAGGCTGGAATAGTGGTTGGAGTTGAATGGGGAAGACTTGGAGTGCCATGTTAAGTAGTGCCACATTTATTCTTTGTGTAGTGGGTAATTGTTGAATGGTTGGAAGGAATCTAGAAGCATTGTGCAGGGTGGATGGAAGAAAGAAGTTAGGAATTACTAAGTAAATGAATTGGGTTAAGGGTTAGTGCTTGGATTAAAAGTGTGTTGACCAGGAAAGGCAAAATTTATTACTGTAAGTAATCAGTGTTATCAAGTACCCAATTTGTTACGGTGGTTGGGAGAGACTGGAGCAGAGAATGGCTAAAGTTGATGGTAAGATTTCTGCCTTGAGACCAGGTGTGGTATTGCACACCTGTAATCCCAGTATTCAGGAGGCTGAGGCAGGAGGGTCACCATCAGTTCCAGGTCAGACTAGGCTGCATATATAGTGAGTTCAAGGCTAGCCTGAACTACATAACAAGATACTGTCTCAAAAAACAAAACAGAAAAAGGTTTCTATGTTCTGACTAGGGCAGCGTCTAGACGCAGAAGGTAGTGAGGAGACCTTTTAAAAATGAAAATGTTCTAAAGATGATGGGGCTGGTTGTAAAAGTTTTTGTATATATTTAAACAAATTTATACATTTAAAATGGATGACAGACTGGGCACGGAGGCACATACCTGGAATTCCAACACTCAGGAGGCTGAGGCAGTAAGATTGCTATGAGTTTGAGGCCAGCATGGGCTACACAGTGAGTTCAAGCCCAGCTTGTACTATATAATGAAACCCTATTTTTTTAAAAAAATGAATTTATGGCATGTGAATTTTATCTGAATAAAGCTTTATAAAAGATCTTCACGGATGGTTGACAGAGTAAGGATTCTGTCAGCAAAACGCAAAACGTTAGTAGCAGATTTGAAGATAAAGAAGATGCTTGGCTTACACATGTTAGTTAATAGTGACGCAGGATGTCCTTTGAGGATGACAAGCATCAGTACAGTTAGTTAGGTCCACACCTTGGAGGTGGTCAGATGTAGAGAAAGAGGATTTTAGACTCCCAGTTTATTGCACAGGTAAAGGTAGCACAGTGCTACATGGCCCTGGATTCACCACTCATGAGTTGTGTGATTGCTGGCAACGTATTTAACCAGTCTAATCCTTTACTTCCTCAGCTTTACGTGGGCGTAGTAGTATTTCATGTTTATTTTTCCCTCTCAAAGCTTTGTGCTTGTGTGTTCTTTTCAGGTTTATTTGTTTTTTAGAAAAATCCATGTGAAGCCCCTGAAATACTGCCTGACACATAAGTGCTCAATAATGTTTGTTATTATATGTTTGAGGATACAGGTGTAAATTAAGTTGTGGAAGTGTACAGAGAGCGCAAGATGGGAGGCGGGGATAGAGCACAGTGTAGAATGCTTGTCTTGCATGCAGGAGGCCCTGGGTTAAATCCCCAGCACTTCCAAAAAATAAAAAATAATAAGAATAGAAGAGGCATGGTGTGATGAGTATCACCTAGGAATGTCTTTCAGGGAGAAGGAAAGAACAAAACAGATAAAGACTACGAGAATTTTATATTTTAAGACATTCTTTTTCTTATATCTACATAGTGCTGAAGAGCATCAAAAATAAAGATTCTTATTTCTCCTTATTCCATTGTCTAGAAGCAGTAAGAAAAAAAAGCCTGTCCTCTGTAATGTTACATTTCAGTGGTACGTATTAGATAGTGATAAGTGAAGTGAGGTAGATGAAGCTAGTGATGAGGTAGAGTGATGGGATGTTATTTAAATTTGAGGTCTGAATAAAAAGAATGTTATTGTGAAACTCTGGCAGGATTTCTGCAAACAGCAAACTACATGATTCAGACCAACATTCTCATTGAAGATAAAAGCTGGAAAATACATTAAAACATCATGAAAGCATCAAAAGAGCTAGGGAAGGGGAAAGAAAAGAAAATTGAACCTCTAAAGATTAAAAAGTACAGTTTTTAGGATGAAAATGCACTGGATGAGATTAATGACAGGTTTATATATTGCAAAACAATCAATGAACTTGAAGACAGCAATAGAAACTATGTAAAATGAAACACAGAGCAGGGGGAAGACTTCTTAAAATTGGACACAGCACCATTTAACTCTGGGACAACTTCAGGTGGCCTAATTAATGGCTGTGTAATCAGAGTCCTGAAGGAAGGAAGGATAGGTAAAGATTTTGAAGAAATAATGGACCCAACATTTAACAAAGACCGTAAACTTGCATATCTATGGTTAGTGAACCTAAATTTAAGAAGCATGAGGGAAATTGCATCAAGATGCATCATAACCAAGTTGCTGAGAGCTATAATGAGCAGGAAAAAAAATCTTTTTTTGTCTTTTTCCTTTTTATCGGTACCGGGGATCAAACTCATGACTGCCTGCTTGAAAGGCAGGCGCTTATGTGGCTGAGCTAAATCCCCAGCCCCTCAGAAAAAAAAAATCTTAAAAGCAACCTCAAAAAGGTGCATAAGGGGCTGGGGATTTAGCTCAGTGGCATGAGCGCCTGCTTTGTAAGTAGGCAGTTGTGAGTTTGATCCCTGGTACCGATAAAAATGAAAAAGACAAAAAAAAAAAAGGTGCATAAAGAGAGACAAGATAAGGATTACTGCAGATTTTTTGTTTGAATGATTGCTAACTGGAAGACAGTGGAGCAGTATTTTTAAGTCCTAAAAACAAAACAACCCTGTCAAGTTGAAGTTGTATACCCATTGAAAATATTTTTCAAGAATGAAGGCAAGTTGAAGACTTCCCTGGACATCCAGAAGATGAATGAATTTATCACAGAAGGCCAGTATGATGAGAAATGTTAAAGAGAAATCTTTGTGGTAGAAAGAAAATATTAGAATTCTGGATCTACCTACCTACATGCCTACACACACACACACACACACACACACACACGCACACACAAGAAGTGGTAACTGTGTATAGATATTTTAGTCCTTTTATACAAGTCTTTGAAAGGTAATTGTTTGGAGCAAAAAGTAATAATTTATAAGATTTATAACATATGTAGAAGTATAATGAGTTATAATACTAGCACAAGGCCAGGTAGGTTGGTGGGGGAGTATTATATCCTTATATGTGAACTGTCAGAATGTCACAGGTGGACTGTGACAAATTGCAATTATATACCATAAAATTTAAAGCAGTACCTAAGTTTTTACAGCAGATGATGACTAATGTGCCAAAAAGGAGATAAAATGGAGTCATAAAAAATACTCTGTTCAAAATAGAATCCCAAACTAGAAAATAGGAGATGGGGAACAAATGAATGGGAAAAAGATAACAACGGGATAGATTTAAAGCCAACTGTTGGCCAGGCATGGTGGTGCATGCCTGTAATCCCAGCACTTGAGAGGCTGAGACAAGAGAATCTCCATGAGTTTGAGGCCAGCCTGAATTACATAGCAAGACCCTGTCTTAAAACAATACAAAACAACACAACACATCTGTGCAGTTTTCATATTAAATGTAAATGGTTTAAACTACTCAAGAGATAATCACAACTTGGCTCTAACGACTTCTACTCTTACTATAAGTTCACAGCATCTCAGATTCTCTAGCCCAGTGATGAAGGACCTTTTAGAGATGAATGCCAAAGTGCAACCCATAACCCCATTATTTATTGCAAAGTTCCAACACTGAAATTACCACTGAATACTGAGGTTTTAGTTTAGAAAAAACAAGTGATACATTAACATCTTTTATTTTAAAAGAAAAAATCCATGCCATAAGTTGCCACCATTTCAGAGTGTCAATGTGGATTCTCATTGATGTGTTAGTGCCTTCTGAGATTTGTGAAGGAGACTTCATGTATGGTTACTGCCTCTCTTTTGATTTGCTGTGACTTTCCATAAAGCCCCGCTTCCTGCTGGGTGAGAATTCTTATCTTTACACCTAATGTACAAGGAAGAGGATGAAAACAAAGAAGATAGAAACCATCTAAAACAAAACACCCGGGGAAAAAAATCTGGTTGTCTTCAACTTGGTTGAGAGAACAAAACACGTTTCCTTTTTCTTCAGCGTTAGGGTTCAAACTTAGGGATGCTAGGCAAATGCTATAGCACTCAGCTGTATACCCAGCCCTTGGTAGTTCTTGATAGAGGGATTTTTGTCCTCTGTGGATTTTTGGACATTTGGCAATATCTAGTGACATTTTTGTTATGGAGGAGATCATGTGGGTGAGGAGGTGCTCCTGACATCTAGTGGGTAGAGGTCAGGGTTGCAGCTAACCATCCTGTAAGGCACGGGACAGCCCCCCCCCCAAAGAATTATGTGGCCCAAAGTGTTAGTAATGCTGTGCTGAGAAACCTTGGTTTGGGGGTAAAGTAAGAAGGGGAAGTCCAGGGAAGGAAATTCTGTTAGGGACCTACCTTCCTTTGTTTTGGTTGGAGAGCATGAGAGGAACTTCCTCCTCAATCTAAATGTACTCAAATAGTTACAGGAAGACACTCCTTTATATACTTTGACATTATATGTTATGGTTTATATCTAGATGTTTCCCCAAGTTTTCATAGGTTCATAGGTGAGGATTTGGAGAAGTGATTGGATTGTGGGTATATGATGCTCATCAATGGGTTAATCCACTGATGAGTTTATAGCTAAACATGATGCTGGTTGGAAGAGGTGGGTTATTGGGTGCGTGGCCTGGCAGGGTCTGTCTCTCTCTCTCTTTGATCACTCCCTGTATCGCTGCTGTGCCTTGCACAATCCTCCTCTGCCATGCTGCCCTGCCTTGGAGCCAGCTGACTGTGGATTGAAATCTTTATGAACTGTGAGCCACAGTAAACCTCACCTTCCTTAAGTTGCGGGTGTTGGGTATTATGTTTCAGTGATAAGAAAGTAACTAAGACACTTTATAGTGTCTGGACAAGTCCCTGGAAGGGACTTGTTAACTTGAGAATAGATGTTAAATATGGATATTCGTCTTTGTGTATCCCCTCTTGTGCCACTCAGATCTATGATCAGGATGAATAGATAAACAGACTCTTTATGTGTAGCTCCTATTCATTAAGCTTGAACAAACTTCTGAGGATCCTAGTGGATTTGTCTCTGGTCCTTTATGTCTGTCTTCAGGGTGGAAAAGGTTTAACATAATAGCATAGTACCCGTGTTTATTTCCGGGAGTGTCAACCAGGCTTAGTGTTATATTTGTTTTATGCAAGTGAATATGTAGTCACAAAAACTAAAATTTAGCAGTTTTCTTTAGCAACGGTACATATTTCTATATGGACCTTCAGGCCTGCCTCTGATGTTGTCAAATGAGGGCCAGCTAAATACCACTGTCTTCAAAGATCCCTTTCATTTCATTGACTGGAAGAAATACCACTTGTGTGTGGTTCCCAGCTTGGATCTCAATTTGAATAAAGGTATGTTTCCCTCTCTCTGCACAGAAATGTGGAAACCTGAAGAATAGTAGGGAAATGAAAGGAAATAGAAATAACAGATGTGTATAGAAATAGGCCCCAGGATATGATGGCTGGGTTAGGGATAAGGTCTGGCCAAGTTTGAGAGTCGAGAGTGCCTCAAATGGGAAAGCCAAGTCACAGCCTGACTGTTTTGGCCTTGTGGCTTGATGCATATTCTTCTCTTACTTCTGTTGCCCACCCAGCTGGTCCTAAGGGACTTGTTCAGAGGGTTTTTTTTTAGAGTCAGTTCAGGGTGGTCTTGAACTCACTAGGTAGCCAAGACTGGCCTCAAATTCATGGTGATCCTCCTGCCTCAGCTTCCCAGGTGCTTACAGGCTTATGCCTGCATGCCCAGTGCAGAGGGTTTATAAGGTACATGAATCTGTCAGTTTAGGAACTTCAAAAAGATTAAAGGAGAAATGATTCTCCTATCTATTGTGGAAGAGGAATGCTTCCTAATGAAAAGAGTAAACCTACATAAACTTACTTAGAAAAAATAAATACAATATAAATGCCAGATGTGTTAAACCTAGGAAGTTGGCTGTATTATTTATGTAAAGCTAAGCACATTAGCTTTTGTTGAGTTATGCTAACAGTTTGTTTGTTAATAATGAGACCAATAAATAAAATTAGGAAATAAAACTGCAATCATGGGCTGATGTCCCGAAGGTTTACTGTCCCAGGCTTAACTCTTAATAGCTAGAACCATTGAATTTGGAGATAGTTTGGTTGTTTGGACCCTGAGGAAGATGACCAGCAGGGAAGAGATGTTTTGAGGTTGTAACTGGGATGAGAAGACTGAAGACAGTGTCTCAGGACAAGTGATAGAATCTGCATCTAGGAAGTAAGCCTCCAGATAAGCTTCTTTCTTGAGTGCCTAGTTTTCAGAGTAAGAGTATAAGAAGAGATGTTTTTAGGACACGCAAGTAGTTTTGTGAGGAGAAGATGGTTGATTTTAATTGATGTGATGTCATGCCATCACAGTTTTGAATAGTAAGGTGACCTCAGAAAATTTCTAGGGATCTCCATCTGTATCTTGTTCTTATTTCTGTTTAGACTTCATTGTTTTCTTTTTGTTTTGTTTTGTTTTGTTTTACAATTCATGATGCCCGAGTTTACTCAGTTAACTTTGGAAATACTTAATGTAGAAAATCTCTCCTTGACTTCTTCCTTCATTTCTCTAAAGGACAGAACCAGGATCCACAAGGAAGTTCTTTTCTGTGTGGATGAGGAATGTAGGACTATGCTAACCGCATTTTAAAGGATCAAGTTGGTAGATTATAGTGGTATCTCAGTTCACAAACACTTTTGTTTGCAAACAATTTGGCTTACAAACAGAAGTGTTAGACAAAATTTTGTTTTTGTTTGCAAATCGCATTAGGTGACAAACATGAATGAGGCTATCTTTCCCACACAAACAAATAACAGAAAAATTAAATTTGTGAACCGAGGTACCACTGTATTTGGGAATGCAAATATTAAGTAGTTTTGGGGCTGAGAGTATAGATTTTGAAGTCAGTCTGTTAAGGTCTGCAACTCAGTTCCATCACTTACTCACGTTGGACAAGCTTTGTGCCTCTTTTCTGAAAAAGTATATCAGAATAGGTCTTATCTTAGATTATGACTTAGCACATACAAAGAATTTAATATAGGACTTGCTGTGTAGCACAAGTTAGATATGATCAGAAGTGAGCTGTCATTTCCTTACTCAGATTTAAATCTAACCTCTGGTAATACTGATTTAGGATCATCTTGTTTTGAAGTCTCATCAAGCTTTTGTTCTTCTGTCTCCATTGGTCTAAACAGGTTGTATCTTATTGGATTTTATTATATATGATAGTATAAGCAAAAACTTTTATAGACAAGGAGATTATACAGAAACCATTATTCATTTTCTGTTAGTTGATTCTAAATACCCTGTAATACTGTCATTCTCTTGAATGGTTTTACATTGTTTTGATATATTTGATGCTACAGTATACGAAGTTATACTCAAAGATTTCAAGGAAAGAGACAATATGGTAACTACTTTTATGTCGGGATTATCTTGTGGTGAAACACCATTTTGCTTAAATGGTTATGTTTTGATCTGCGCTGTTTTGCTGTTATGCCCTCTTTTATCTCAATCTCCACTCCATTATTTACTTTTTTATTTTTACCCTTTTAATTAAGGGAAAAATAAATAAAAAATAGCAGGATATATTATAGTAACTCACTTTGACTGTCCATTATCTTGATTTAAAGCCCTGTATTGCTCTCACCATCTTGTTTTGACTGATGTTCCTCTATTCTGTTTTGCTTGATAGTACCAGGTTCAAAAGTTTAGGCAACAGCTGTGAAGATAGTGGGATTCATTATGCCGCCCATTCTGGTTGACTATTATCTACTTTTGAAGACCTATAATGTCTCCAATGTTTTGGTTTTGTTGGTTTTGTTCTTTACTGTTTTGTTCAATTTTATTATAACTGATGATATAGGCAATTCTATTAGAGATAGCGGGAGGCATCATGGTAACCATTGTTGATCACCTTGTATTATGCTTTTACATTATCTATTACATCCACCCTTTTGATTTGACTGACTCTGATCTGTTATGTCACATTTGGTCCTACTCTCTTCCAAAAAAGTAATAAGAACTGTGGGAGCAACAAAACCCAAAATGTGTAATTGTCATTGTACAAAAGAGAGGAAAAGAAAGTGCTCTAAATGATATAATTGCATGTATATTTAAGTGTATAAGATGGATAATGATATTACTGAGTTTTGTTGGATCATTGAACAGAACTGTTTGCAGTCTCACTGTTGGAATGTCCACTTTATAAGCTTTAATTTTGTAACTTGAACAATTATTTCTAAGATGACAATATGTAATCCATTAACTAGTGATTTCCTACTGTTAATTTTTTTTCTGTAAACCTGTATAACGTGTACCCTTTCTCTGCTTTTTTTCTTTTTCTTCTTAAATAAAATTTTTATTTAATTTAAAAATTTTTTAAAAAAATTTTTAAAAAATCTAACCTCTGCCTCTTACCTACCATGCCTGCCTTAGAAGTTGTACAAGGAGTAAATGAATGTATTATCTCCCAGTAAATGCAAAGTGCTGTTTGGTTTCCATTTTATACAACCAATCATTATTTTGATGTTCTTTCCGTCAGTCACTATTATTTGCTTTTCATCATGTGAATGGAGAAACAAGTTCATGAGTGGAACTGAATGTTCAAATGGAGAACTCCTATCCTCAAATCCTTTTTTCTTTGTGATACAGTTCTTTAGTAACTTGTAGGGATTTTATTTACTTTGGAAATTTGTATAATATCTTATCCTCTAGATTTGGTGCTTCCAGATGTGAGTTATCAGGTGGAATCCGGTGAGATGAATCACTCTCAGAATACGGACCTTCAAGGACAAACTCTACTGCTTTTCCTTTTTGTGGATTTCTATAGTGGATTTCCAGTCCAGCAAATGGAGATTTGGGGTAAGCAGGAGTAAGTAGGGCTGCCAACTTGGGTGTGCCAAATACTCAGAGGTTAGAGAGGGAGACAAATACATAAGGAATTTGTTTGAAGTAGATACATTTATTTAGAATAAAGAATTTCATTGAAGAAAACCTTGCTTAAGTTAAATTATATTCTCTATTCAGAAGACTGCTACCGGGCAACCCACTTGGGACCCCTTCTGTCTCTCTTTCAGAAGCTTTCTTTCTCTCAACAAATATATTCTATTCTTAACCTCTATTGTTCCTAAAATTCATTCTTTGATTTTAGAGAACATGAACTCGTACTGGACATAGTAGATTGGGAGTTTCATTTCCCTATACTTTATAAAATTCCCTAGAAAAGAGAGTCTTTTGGCAACCTGCTCGGGACCCCTTATGTCTCTCTCTCAGACAGAAGCTTTCTTTCCCTCAATAACTATATTCTGTTCTTAAAATAAAAATCACTACAGAAAAATGATGCATCACTTAAATGGTGATATTCCCAGATTTGATTGGCCAGAAGTCAAGAGACACTTCTTGGTACCATAGATCAATATCCCTCAGCCTTGTTTGTACAATACCTTACTGGGGGAGCTCGTAAAAATGCCCAGAACTGATTCTCAAGAGATGGGGTTCAAATCTCAGTACTTTTATATTTTTGGTGCGGGGGATAAAACTCAGTGTCTTGCACATGCTAAGCATGTACATAAGTTGAGCTACATACTTTAGCCCCTTGGTATGTGTTTAGTTCCCCAGGTGATGCCAAGCATGGTAGAACACCATGCTTAATCTCAGCATACTGGGAGGCTCAGGCAGGAGAATGGATGGAAAATTCCAGTCTAGTCTGAGTGACTTCCTGACATAGACCTTGACTCAAAAAAAAAAAAAAGAGCTGGTGATGTAGTTCAGTGCAAAGGCCCAGGTTCAAGCGCTGCTAAAATTAAATAATAAACACATGCATACATACACATATAATCTTCTTAAGAGATTCTGATGTGGAGCTAGGCTTGAGAATTTTTCCCATACTCTACTGCCTTTCTAGGTATCAAGAAATGTATCCTGATGCAGAGTGTGGTGGTGCATTCCTGTAACCCCAGCTGCTTGGGAAGCTGAGGCAGGAGGATTATAAGATCAAGAACCTAAGCTGCAGATATAATTCAAAGTTCAATTCCCTGTGCTGCAGAGAAAAAATAAATAGAAGAAAAAAGAAATGTAGCCTGACTTTGTACAGGCCTGTAAGTAGGGTAGTGTTGGCATGAATCTATTAGGTAAATGGTAACCTATTATCAGAAAGGTTTTGTTAGAGGTAGGGCAGTGGTTTCCGTTTGTAATGCATAAAACACTTGTATCAGAGTCACTAGATTACTTGGAAATGTGTAACTTTCTGGGCCCAGATTAATCCATTATTTTGCTATAATGTGAAGAATCCAGTATGGCTTAAGAATCCACATTTTCAAGATTTTCAGGTGATTTTTAAATGTTGTAAGATTTGGAAAACTACTAAGTATGAGTGTGAGTCGGCTTAGTCCTCTTCTCTTTTTTTTTTTTTTTTTTTTTTTTTTTTTTTGCCTTTTTTTGTTTTTTATCGGTACTAGGGATCGAACTCACGACTGCCTGCTTGTAAGGCAGGTGCTTATGCCGCTGAGCTAAATCCCCAGCCCCTTCTCTTCTCTTTTCTCTTTGAACCCAGTGCCTTCACACTGAGTTTAATCCCCAGCCCTCTTATAAAATTTTTATTTTGGGACAGAGTCTCACTAAGTTGCTTAGTTGTCCAGGCTGAGTTTAAATTTGTAATCCTCCTGTCTCAGCCTATCAGAATGCTGGGATTACAAGCATGCACTATGATGCCTGGCTGATTTATACATTTTAATACAGTTAGCCCTAGGACAAGATTTAAGTTTCTTGGTACTTTTCTTCTAAATGTTGAGAAGAGTTATAGACAAAGTGGAGTTCATATACATTTGGGGGAAAGTTCATAAGCCTCCCTTTCTTCTGCACCAGTGTGTTTTTACGGTATGCTGCCCTCCAGGCATCTGTTTCTCTTTGGTATGGTGCTACTCCCACTTCACCAGAAGATAAACAAGACCACTTGTAACCCCAGATCAGAAGTACTCACACTGACTGGTGCCCATGCTTTGTTACTGTTGTTTGTGAGATCCTTCTGCTGTCTGCCTTCCAAACCTTTCTCACCTTTTCCCAGTGTATGCATACTCTGAGAGAGAAGCACAACTTTCCTGGGTACCAGCTTGCAACTCTGTTTGAGGAGCAGGTGTTCTTTGGTGCCCCTGTTCCTTTGATTAAAGCCAGGGAAATAAGAAATAAAAGAAACTCAGACTGAAGAGGCTCCAGCAAGCAGGGCTCAACTGAGGACTCGTGGAACTGTTAACTGGCCTATGCACAGAAAGACACAGATTGAATTTTTAAAAAAAGGCAGAGGTTGACAGGAGAAGCAGTTTAGTATTGTGGAAAGAAGTTAGAATCAAAAGAGCTGCGTTTAATTTTAACTTGGGTACTAACTTCCCCAATAATAATTGAGAAGAATTCCCATAAATCATCTGAGCATCCTTTTTCATACTTTAACATGAGCTTGTGATATCAAAGGCCATTTCCGACGCTAAAGGTCCTCTTGAGACATAAAAATACATTACTTTCTGGCATTTGAAAAAGTCTGATAACAGGAAAATTCAAGTCTGGTACTGTGTTCTGAGGCCTATTAAACATACATTAAGAACTAAGATTTCAGGGCTAGGGATTTAGCTCAGTGGCATAAGTGCCTGCCTGGCATGCATGAGGTTGTGAGTTCAATCCCTGGTAACTTAGATTTATCAGAAATGCTATTATTTATATAATCCTTGTATTATTGTGGTAGTTATGCACCTCTGTTTAGCTTGCCTCAACCTTTCGTGTCTCAGAAATTGTTCTCAGTATTAGATTAAAAAGAAAATTTTTTTGATTAAAAGGAAATTTATCACTGCTTTAGTAAACGTAGCAAATATGTTTTAAAATCTCCTATCTGGTAGTTTAAAACTAGCCTTGGAAAAAGATACACAGTGCAGGGAGGTAGATAGAGCTACAGTAATTTTACTTTTGTCTTTTCCCTTTTTTATGAAAGCTTTCTCCAGAGCTCCTTTTTTAGGAAACAGATTGTGCAGAACTGCAGTCTGTTTCTGTGTCTTTTAAAAAATCACTTAATTGGCCTTATGCCCACCTTGTCATGGTAACTTTCTATGATTAACTCATTCTTTTAAGCAGTATCATAAGCATCTGGTGGTATCAGCTATTTTAGGAATGAACTTTGGCTTTTTAATTAAATGTCTGCTTTCAAAAGGGGTCTGATTTTTTGAAGCTCTTTTTAGGACCAAACTGAAGAAAATAGTAATCCACATTCTATATTATCATAGTAACAGCAGTATTTCCTGTCTGAATATTGCATGTATGTTTCAAAACATTTCATTTATGTTATCCCAGTTTACCCAGCATAGCTAAGAGAAGCAGTATAAAGCCATTTTCTTTATTGAATTGAGAAGAATGAAGAGACCTGGTCACTGTTGGTTAGTAGTGGAATTGACCCTAAGTCTGTGTTCTCCCACTTCTAGTTTCAGACTCCTTTTAACTCCACACATAACTTTCTCTTCATCATGGTGCCTTGCAGTAGGGAATGTTCCTTCTCGCTTGCATTTTTAATGCAATCCTAAGAAAAGCCTGCCAGCCAGTCTTAGGCTCCTTTACCATGGTATCTTTGAACAGACTTAAGAGGGAGTAGACATAAAAATTCATTTAGAAGCATTTTCTTGCCAGGCATGGTTTTGTTGTATTTCTGTAGTCCCAGCACTCTGGGAGGCTGAGGTAGGGGGCTTGCAAGTTTGAGCTCAGACTGGGAAATTTAGCAATTTAGTGAGACCCTATCTCAGAACAGAATCGGGGTGTAATGGTAAGACCCTGGATTTAACCCTGAGTACTGTATCAAGGGAAAAAAAGATATTTTCTCCAGATCTCCTATAAATCAAGTTTATCTTCCTGTTACATCAGGATCATTGATTATAAACCTATTATTTTTTTTTTTTTAGACAAAGTCTCACTGTAGTCCAGGCTGGCCTCAAACTGATGGAAATCCTCCTGCCTCAGCCTCAGCATGCACCACCCACCCCTGGCCTTGGTGACATATTTTTGCCCAGTGCTTTACACATTAGATTTTCTGAGTGATGCTGAGCAGGAGTGCTCAAATAATTATCCATTTAAAAGACTTTGTACTAACAGTTCTGGGAGTCATCTTTGTAAGTTTTAAACTTTTTTATTTTTACCATAGCATAGCTAATGAAAAGGACACACTCTGATAACAATGACTAGATCAACAGTGAGTGTCAAATGGGAAGGGAGGTGGTTAGACATTCTCCAGGAGGTGTGTTATTGTTTATAACATAAATTAAGTAGGATCACTCGTTCATTTCTTCAAAAATAATGTAACTCTTCACTTTAAGTTTCCTGGGCTCTTTGTTTGAAAATGGGAATTGAGTGGGTTTGTAAGTTGCTGGAGGGGCAATTGTCTGAAAAAATAATTGTCAGTAGATAGAAATAGCTTCTGCTAAAAGGCATCTTCTCTTATTCCATCCGGAGTTAGAGCACATGAACAGCACGCTTGAAATAGTCATTGTCACTCAAGTTTATGGACATTCTCTGTCCCCTTAGGAGTCCATACTTTGCTCACAGCTCATCTCAATTCCATCCTCATGAAGAGCCACAGTGCAGTACAAGATTCGATTCATGCCACTCTGGACCAGATCTTGGAGCAGCATGACCAGGCTGCCAAGGTAATAAGAAATTCACCTCTTTTATTCTAGGTGGTTTTGTTTTGTTTTTGAGACAAGGTCTTGCTATATGATTCAGCCAGGCTTTGAACTCACTATGCAACCCAGGCTGGCCTCGAACTCACAGTGATTCTCCTACCTCAGCCTTCTGCAGACTGGGATTACAGTGTATGTCATTACTCCTGGCCTTTTCTCCTATTTTCTAAGAAACAGAGCGTGCATACAGGGCCTCAGAATCCCTCTTCCCTCAAAGCCCCATCCTGTTTATTTTGCTTTCTGGGATGATGTAATATTACATCCAACCTAGAAACTCAGGCTTTCACTTAGATGGGTCACTGTAAGTCAGCTTACTTACTTTTACCTCCTACTAGGTGAGTTTGAGTAAACAGGGACAGAGTATATAGAAAAATGGCTGATACAGTAACTTCTTGGTCTGTACAGCACCCTCTGGAGCTGCTGCTTCACTAAACTTTACGTTCTTCCTCCATCCTAATTCTTTATAATGCCATATTTTCTTCTTTTGAGATAGGATCTTGCTGTGTAGTTCAGGCTGATCTTAACTCGCCATGTAGCCCAGCCTGGCCTTTTGACTTTCAGGGATCCTCTTGCCTCAGCCTCCCTAGTGCGGGGATTACTAGGGAGTGTGTTGCTGTGCTCAGTTTATAGCTGAGTTTACCACATTTTCTTCTTATCTAACTGTGAATTCCTGTATCCCGTGCATTTTTGTTTTGTTTCTGCACTATTGGGGATCAAACAGGGTGCTGCACCACTGAGCTATATCCCCAGCCCTTTTTATCTTTGTTTTGAGACAGGGTCTCACTTGGTGTATAGCCCAAGCTGGGCACAAACTTGCAGTCTCCTGCCTCAGCCTTCCTCTATGCTAACATTACAAGTATGCATAAGTTGGTCCTGCTTATCCTGTATACTTTGGTAACACATTTCCTACTATATATTTTCCTCTTTTAAAGGAAAAAGCTTTCTAAGACAGTAAACCTTTAAGCTTTTTTAAAATTAGGAAGTATATATATGTTACTGCCTGATGTCTTATTGCTTATCTTTTCTGAGTGTATCTGTCAGTTAGTCATCTCTATGGGAGGAAACAGCATTTTAAAATTTTGTTTTAATTCCTACAGGTCATGACAAAGATATGCCATGATCTCAGTGAGTATTGTTGTTAGGAGACATCTGCTGTGACTGAAATCTTTGCTCCCTTTGGGATTTTCTGAGCCAGCAGTTTGGAGTTAATGTGGTCTCCTTATGTTTCCTAGGCTCATCAGAAACTGCAGGCTTCACTCTCAGTGGTTGTGAATTCCATCATGAGTGTGGTGACTAGGAGCACAAGCGGTAGCTTCCGAAAGACATGTCTCCAGGCCCTTCAGGTAAGCAGGAGATTGGGAATGCTTACAACTGCCAGGGGCTTAACAACCTCCTGTCTATCTCTGTAATGTGTATGGTGCTTTTACGAACATTATTTCACTGCTCTGTTATGATCATATGTATACCAGGTCTAAGTGTTTTAAGAACTATTTGTAGAATAAATTGTAGTGTGTACTATTTCAAAAGTAAGGAAAGTTACTTATAGTTTCTACTTCTTTAGGTCACACAGATGTACTAGAATGTGGTAGGGTTAGATCCATGATTTTCAATTCCTTGTTGAAGAATGTTCTGCTAAATTAAAACAACACTGAGATTCTACCTCACCCTAAAAAGAATGGCTATTATCAAGAAATCAACCAATAACAAATGCTGGAGGAACTGTGGGGGAAAAGGAGCCCTTCTCCACTGTTGGTGGGGGTGTAAACTGGTGCAACCACTCTGGAAATCAATGTGGAGATTCCTAAAAAACCAGGACTAGAGGTCCCATTCAACCCAGCTATTCCTCTTCTGGGTATCTTTCCAAAGAATTAAAAACAATATACCACAGCGATGTATGGGTACCCGTATGTTTATGGCAGCACAATTTGTAATAGCTAGATCTTGGAAACAATCTAAATGCGCATTGACTAAGGAATGGATAAAAAAGATGTATTTTATACAATGGAGTACTACTCAGCTATAAAGAAGGATAAGCTGGAGACTTTTATAGGTAAATGGATGCAACTTTTTTTTTTTGTCTTTTTCGTTTTTATCGGTACCGGGGATTGAACTCACAACTGCCTGCTTGCAAGGCAGGTGCTTATGCCGCTGAGCTAAATCCCCAGCCCCAATGGATGCAACTTGATGCCACACTCATTAGTGAAATAACTAAGACATACATGTGTAAACATCATACTGTCTCACTAAAGTGAGAGCTGAAACAACATATGTATATATATGTGCATACATATATATAAAAATACCAAAGATAGTTACATCATTGATTCTGCTGAGTTCACTGAAGAAAAAGATTTGTGCTGATATTGTTTGGACAATTGAATGCAGATGTCTTATGCTCTGGATGAATGATTTGGGGGTGACGGTGTGCACTGTATGTACCATTGTTGTCCCCTGATTGGTGTGTTTTGAAATTTTGTTTTATTTATTTTTTCTTTTTTCTCTGAAGTAAAATGGATTTGAAAAGAAATCATTAAATAAATAAATAAATAAATAATACATAAAAGAATTCTCTGGTACCTAAGGATGACAGAACACATTAGAAATAACTAGCAGTCAGTGCTGCGCAATCGCACGTATGTGACAGTATAGAATGGTGGAGAGAGTTTGGGAATCAGGGTTAGGTTCAAATCCTGACTCATTCACTTACTTGCTGTGTGAAATGAGGACTATATTGAACTTCTCTGAGCCCTATCTATAAGTTAGAAAAAAATAATAGATACTCATAAGATGATGATGGCTAAATGTATATCGTGGTCTGAATATGGGTATTTCTTCAGACTTCATATATTGAAATCCACGATTATGGATTTAATAGTGATGGTGCTTTGGGGAGACAAATACGTTGTTAGGCATTATTCTTCATTAGTGAAATTAGTATCTTTAATAAAAGGGAACCTCAGAAAACCCTCACATCTTCTGCAGTGTGAGGGCACAGGGAGAAGTAAACAGTCTGAAACTGTAAAGAATTTAGCCATCTTGGTACACTGATCTTAGACTTCCACCTTCCAGAACTGTGAGAAATAAGTTTCTATTATATGAAACTGCTGGTCTGTGGTAATTTGTTACAGAAGCCCAAACAGCCTGAGACCATGTAAAAGTGTGCAGTACATGATAGGTTCTCAGTAGATGCTAGTTTCTTCCTTCCTTTTAAGATTATGTACTGAACACTTGATATTAGCAGTGGATAACACTCATTTCATGGTAGTTTCTGTATTTTTAAGTAACTTTGGGTTGTATTTTTGTGATACTGGGGATTGAACCCAGTCGTTGCACATTTTGGGCAAGGTTAGAGACCACTAAGCTAGATTCCCTGTCCCCTGTTTTTTTGTTTTTGTTTTGTTTTGTTAAGACAGGTCTTGCTATGTAGCTCAGGCTGATCTTAAACTCACTATATAGTACAGGCTACCTCAAATTCATAGCAGTCCTCCTGCCTCGGTCTCCTAATTGCTGGAATTACAGGTGTGCACCACCAATTCCTGGCCTCTACACCATTATTTTTCTCTATTTTTTTATTTCATTTTAAAATTATCTTTATTTCAGAACTGCTTTTATATTCAGACATCATAAAAATGCACTTACACTGGAGATTTTCCAAGGAATAGGAGCTGGAAATAAAATTTAAGGGTAATCAGGAGAACAAAAACTGTCCCAGAGAAGTTCTAAGGATCCCTACTGCTTAAATGTCTTTAATTACCTCAAGTTCTTCCTCTGTGAAAATGTGGAATTCTTGCTAGGCTTCATTGTAGCTAGCTCCGTGTTAGTTGCATTCAACTTCTCCTCTATTACTTGTTGGAGGATGATGACTTCTTTCAGTGTCATTGACTTGTGGTGAACTTCTGGCAAGGAGCTCTGGGCACCTTCTGAAGCAGAGCCAATTTCTCAGGTGTCACACTGTACGTAGGGCCCAGATGGGTCCCTATGAAAGAGCTGGGATCCCTTCTCATCAACTCCTCCAAATAACAGTGCTACTCCAAAGGGACAAGGTGTGACATCTGGATCTGCATCATCTTCTCCAAACTGTAGGGCCAGATGAAACACAGCCTGGGTCACACGCTCCCCTGTCATTGTCTCATTTTAGGTAAACCATTGGTTCTGGGTCTCCATTCCTGCCTTATTAATTAAAGTCTTGGCATCAGCAGTTAGTCCACTCATGGCACAACCTATATGAGCATCAGTCTCTACTGTTTTCTCAATGCTGCTGGGCTCCGTGAGTGGGGAAGTAAATCTCTTTTTGCACAGCTAGGCATACACCTTTCAATGTCTGGATCCCAATGGCTGTAGAATCAAGCTTGATAGCCTCAATGGCATATTCCACCTGAAACATAGTCTTCAGGAGAAAAAGTATTCACACCTCTGTCATATTCCGATCATGTGAGGAACATGGTGAGGACAACAGAAAATGACAAGTGGCTATGCTATGTTTCTAAGGACTTACACTGGTCCCCAGCACTCAACTCAAACTACACGGCCACGGCACTAAGGCCCGGTCCCCCACACATTTTTGTGAGACAAAGTCTTGCTACATTGCCAGGCTGACCTCAAACTCATTATTCTCCTGCTTCAGCCCCCTGAATAGCTGGGATTACAGAGTCGTCCTGTTGTACCAGCCATTTTTTTGTAGTCCTTATCTTGAAAAGATAATTTGACATTGAAAGCAATTTATGTAGTAACTAATTTTAGCACTATAATTTTAATTTTTGTGTGTTACATAGTCATAACTAAAGCCTCCTGTTTTGATATGTAAATTGACATTTGAACAGTCTCTGATTTAGTTTTGATTAACCAATATTCCTCTGTATTGTTGTAGTCTAATAAACTACTCTTCAAATATTAGACATTTAAATTGATAACATCTACTGACACAAATAGTGCTTTATTTGATACTTCGTGTTATATCTTATACTTCATGTTATATTTTCCACTCATGCTTATTTTGAATTATTTCATAGAAAAAAATTCTGTAAAAAGTTACTGGGTCAGGAGAATTTCCCTAATTTAGCAAAAGGTAAAGATACTCAGATGTATGAGGCATACAGGACCCTAGCCACCTACAACCCAAACAGAGCTACACCCAGGCATATAATAATCAAAATTCCAGAAATCCAATATAAGAACAGAATATAAAAGCCATCAGAGACAAGAAACAGATCACTTACAAGGGAACACCCATCAGAATTACAGCAGACTTCTCAGCACAAACCATCAAATCACGAAGAGCGTGGGGGGAAATAATTCAAGCTTTGAAAGATAATAACCTCCAGCCAAGATTGATATATCCTGCACAACTGTCCCTAGAAATTGATGGAAAAACAAGGTGCTTCCAGGATAAAGAGGAACTAGGGGAATTTGCAACCACCAATTCAACTCTACAGAGATTACTGCAGGATATTCTAAAAATGAAAAATACCAAGATTCCAGAAACAGTGGCAGAGTGGCCACAATGAATGGAGCAGAAAGCGAAATGAAGAGGACAAACTGACAACTAGTGACAGAAAAAAAGCTCAACAAAAATGAGGCAGAGAAGGTTGCATGGCAGGAACAGCCATTTTGGAGAAAATAAGACATCATAATAGGTAGTGCTGATTTATTATCCTCTTGTTTTGAAGTCCCATCAAGCTTTTGTTCTTCTGTCTCCATCAGTTTTAACGTGTTGTATCTTATTGGATTTTATTATATGTGATAATATAAGCAAAAATTTTTATAGACAAAGAGATTATACAGAAACCATTGTTCATTTTCTGTTAGTTGATTCTAAATACCCTGTAATACTGTCATTCTTTTGAATGGTTTTACGTTGTCTTGATATGTTTGATGCTACAGTATACGAAGTTATACCCAAAGATTTTAATGGAAGAGACACTATGGTAACTACTATTATGTCGAGATTATCTTGTGGTGAAACACTATTTTGCTTAAATGGCTATGTTTTGACCTGCACTGCTTTGTTGTTATGCCCTCTTTTTTATCTCAATCTCCTTTTTATTATCTACTTTTTCATTTTTATCCTTTTTATTAAGGGAAAAATAAATAAAAAATAGCAGGATATATTATAGTAACCCACTTTGATTTCCTATTAACTTGATTTGAAATTCTGTATTGCTCTCACCATCTTGTTTTGACTGATTTCCCTCTATTCTGTTATGCTAGATAGTACCAAGTTTGAAAGTCTAGGCAACAACTATGAAGACAATAAGATCCATTGTGACGCCCATTCTGGTTGACTATTATCTTCTTTTGAAGTCCTCTAATGTCTCCAATGTTTTGGTTTTATTGGTCTTATTCTTTACTGTTTTGTTCAATTTTATTATAACTGATGATATAGGCAATTCTTTTTAAGATAACGAGGCATTATGGTAACCATTGTTGATCACCTTGTATTTTGTTTTTACATTATGTATTATGTCCATCCTTTTGATTTGACTGACTCTGTCCTGGTATGTCACATTTGGTTTTACTTTCTTCAAAAAAAAAGTAATAAGAACTGTGTGAGTAATAAAACCCAAAATGTGTAATTGTCACTGTATAAAAGAAAGGAAAAGAAAGTTCTCTAAAAGATATAACTGCATATATATTTAAGTATATAAGATAGATAACCATATTACTGAGTTTTGTTGGATTATTGAGCAAAACTGTTTGCAGTCTCACTGTTTGAAAGTCCCCTCTATATGCTTTAATTTTGTAACTTCAACAACTATTTCTAAGATGACATTATGTAATTAACTAGTGATTTCCTACTGTTTACTTTTTCTGAAATTCTGTATAACTTGTACCCTTTTTCTGTTTTTTTTTTCTTTTTTCTCCTTAAATAAAATTTAAAAAAAAAGTTACTGGGTCAAAGCCTATAAAATCTTTAGAAACTAATACATTTTATTATAACTTTACCTATCTGGGTCACATAAATTAGTGAAAAGAAACTCTAATTTTTGTTCTACTTGTGAAATTTTAGGTGGGTCACTTCTTTTTAAATTTAAATTTTCTCATCTATAAAATTAGTATATTGTGTTTAGTGGTAACTCTGGCCCCCTTCAAATCTAATGGCCTACAGTTCTACATTAAAGAGTCAAAGACCATTGACTCATCTTCGTGGGTACAGACTGTACTCCTTGGTCCCTTTTCTCCCTGAAAGGTTTGAAGAGCTGCCACATCAGCTTTAGTGGGTCAGTGGAACCTAGCTTTCTCAGAATTTGTTTTACAGAGGAGCAGTTTATATAACTCCTTCATGAGCAGATGGGTCTCTGGGACATTTATCTGCTGTAGACCTGGGAGAAAAAAAGCCCTTGTTTGAAACCCCTTGTAGAGGAAACAGAAATGAGAAGACAAATAGGAGCCATCACTACCTGTCTCTTGCCAAATATCCTAGGCAATTTTTTCCCTCTTTTGATCCCATAGAAAGGAAGGACATCCTAATGCAGTGTCAGTGTCCCATCTACCTCATCCTCCCCCCATTTAAACTTCCTGTGAGTACTTTGCTCTTGGTTTCCAGTACTGGAACTCAGTCCCTTCTATCTCTGGTTATATTTTAGGCAGCTGACACACAGGAGTTTGGGACCAAACTGCACAAAATATTTTGTGATATCATCCAGCATCGATATCTTCACCGCTGCTCAAGTGATGTAAAACAAGTAAGTGTAAAGTAGTCAGTACGCTGGTGGAAGTCTTCCGTTTTGATAGTGGGAATCTTAAACTCAGGGTGAGTGGGTACCTGTGCACTGATAGTCTGAGGCCAGCCATTCAGCAGGAAAGCCTGTTGTTTTGAAAAACTTCATAAGAATCATATAGAGGTTCAAAGGATGGTTAGGTATACTTTGAATTCTGTTGCTGCCACTAACTAGTTGTTGGCATTATTATGAAAGTTATTTAATCTTTCTAAGCCTGAACTCTTGTATCAGTAAAAATAAGAATGACACATAACTAAAGTTACTGGTATGAAGTTGGAATAAGATCATGTATGTAATCAGTGTGTAGCTACTAATATAATGGCATTACATGATGGGATAATTATAATTATTTTTGCCTAATAAAAAACACACTTTTATGAATGCTGATCTAAGTTTGCATTACTTAGGGTCTCTACCCTCAAGAAGGTCAAATAACTTTAGCCATTTTTGTGATGCACTCTCTTAACAAGGGAAGAGAGACCATAGCTAGGAAATTCTATTTATCTCCAGATTACAGGTAGAACTGCTACTATTGGTCTAACTGAAGCCTACCTCTCTGGCTCTCTTAGTTCTAATCAGTAGGATTGATTTTTCTGGACTTTAGTATAGGATGACTAAATAAAAGAGATTAAAGATGAAGTTATTGCTGCTACTTCACCAATGGCTTCTGGCCAAGATGGAGAAACAGAGACTGGATTTGTACTTTTGGCTGAAATAATAAAACTTTTGGACACAATGTAGAAAACAGTGGCTTGAAGATATTGGATATCGGGCAACAAATGGAATGGTTATTTCTAAGTGATAAAAAGCAAAATTTTTTCACTTCATCAAACAAAATAATGATTGCCCTGGCATACAACCTAAGAGAAAGTATAAAGGCCATGGAAAAAGGAGAAGGAGTCCAGGCAAAGCCAGTGGTCTCCTGAAGTTGAATAGATGGAGCTGGGAATCCAGGGATGCTGTCTCAGTCCAGCTTGTGTGGCTGTAACAAAATACCTGTGGCTTGGTACCTTATGAATAAAAGAGGTTTTATTTGGCTCATGATTCTGGTGGCTAGAAATTCCAGACAGCATGAAAGCAGTGTCTGGTGAGAGAAAAAATAAGATTAGAGGGAAATGCCAGGTTTAAGCCACTCCTATAGGATTGCACCCATTTCATGACATCCAAGCCACTTCATTAGAACATTACTGGCTAGTCCCACTGAGGCAGGCATAACCAAATCACCTCCTTCGGGGCCCTACCTCTTAAACATCACAGCACCATTCATTACTATTACATTGGGGAACAAGCCTTGCATTTGAACCTAGAGAGCAAACCATAGCAGATGTTAAGGCAGCTAAAGTTTTCAAGGAAGAATACACCTGAAGAGAGAGCTGGGCACAGAGAATATGCTGGAGATTTACAGTGGAGTTCCTCCTCTACTATTCATTTAATGCTAATCAGTTCATATTGGTGAGGAAACTATCCACCATAAAGATTCTCTCAAAAGGATTAGAGGAACAACAAGCAGAGTTTATACAGGGCTAGAAACGGTTACTGTTTGCACTGTCCAGAGAGGAAAACATCATAGGTCATGGAGCACCAGGCAGAATACTAAGAAGGGTATTACCCTAGAAGTGGAGAAAAATCAAACCTACAGTAAACACTCTGGTGCTGTCCTAACAAAGTTTGAAAGCAGAAGTAAGGCCCAAAAGGATCAAACTAATTGCAAGTAATTCAATGTCATTACTAAGCAAATAAATTATCGATTAAATATTTATGAGAATATAGCAATATCCAGCACACACCAAGTAATATTCATAGAGCCTTGTGTCCCATAAAAAATTAACAGCTTTGCTAAGAAGCAAGAAAAACAACCTACAATGAGAAAATTTAATCAAAACTGATCCAGAACTGATATAGCAGGTAGAATTAGTAAAGACAAGCCAAGTGTGGTGGCATATATGTAATCCCAGCAGTTGGGAGGCAAATTCAAGGCCAGCCTGAATTACTTAGCAAAAACCCTGTCTCAAAAAAGAAGAAAGACATTAGGCAGTTATTATTATTTTTAATATGCCACAATGTTTATTGCTATGTAGCCATTGTTGTGAGGGTAGGGAGTTTGATCTCAAAAACAATGTTCCATATTTATGATCTCTTATAGAGAAGTGACCATCCTGATATTAAAAGTATCTTTTAAAAATTTCTTTTTTTGCAGTATTGGGGATCATACTTAGAACCCTGCATATGCTAAGCAAACACTCTACCACTGAGCTACCAACCCCCTGCCCAGCCTTCAAAATACCTTTAATCTTTTAGCATTCACACCATAAAGGGAAAACTCCTACATTTATTCAGTTGTGCATGTACACTTAGTGGAAAACAAAAAGTTATTATGACTATGACAGCAATTTCTTATGCCTCACCAAATACAACCAAACCAAACCAAATTTGATATACAACCAAATCAAATTTCTCCATAAGAAAAAAAATTCCTCATAAAATCAACATTGAACCTAACCATTGAATTTGATTCAGTTTTCATCCAATTCAGTTTGCAACCAGAATCATGGAAAGAATTAAGTTTGCAAACCAAGGTACCACTGTAACAAGAATAAACACTAAGGGGCTGGGGATTTAGCTCAGCAGCATAAGTGCCTGCCTTGCAAAGTAGGCAGTCGTGAGTTAGATCCCCGGTACCGATAAAAGGAAAAAGACAAAAAAATAAATAAATAAATAAACACTAGCTGTGAAAATAATTTGATCACATTTAATTGGCATTCCTTTTGGGGCTAAAGGATTAAACTCATTACTAAAAAACAATCCTTATAATGCATAGCATTATGTCCCTGCTGCTGTGTCACGAAAGGCTTGCCAAGGTAGGTAAGGTTTAAGCCCCACAGAACTCTAGTCAAATACAACCATAAATAATACTGAAGAAAATTTACCTTCTGACTGGTGGGTACTACTTTTAAGACATTCAATTGGCTTACCTTTTGTCATATGTTAAGCTATTCACATTGGCAGTTACATTCATCATAGTGCCTGTGAAAGAGAAGAATATACCCAGTTTGAGCTAAAATGTGATAAACCCTTCTTTAGTGTCTACATAAAAGTAACAGCATTAAACAGTGTTATGACAATTGCTGAGAGGCTGCTGATAGCACATTCATTCACTGTTTTAGAAGCACCCAAACCAATTTTACTATTATTGACTGAACTGGAGAAATGAAAGCCTCTAGATCACTGACTGTCATTTTATGAGAATTGTTCTTTAAGTGGAAATACTACATTGCCTTCCATAAAACAGTTGTTATAACCATATAAAATTTTTCTAGAGGCTAGCAGAAAGATTGACATGTTAAGCAGAGATATGGAAGGTGTTAAAAAGCAGCCCAACAAACATTTAAAGATGAAAACTACATTGTCTGAGATGAAAATTACACCAAATAGTATTAACGGCATTAGACACTTAAGGAAAAACATAACAATAGAAACTCTGAAATAAAACACAGAAGTTAAAACAGACTGTAAATAAATAAATAGTGTATCAGTGAGCTGCTAATTTCAACTAGCCCAATATACATGTAATTGGTAAATCTAAAAAAAGAAGGTATGGAAGAACAAAAACATGTATGAAGGATGGCTGAACTCTGATGAAATCTGTGAACCTGTACCTAGGAACCTCAATGAACTCCATGCCCAGGGAACATAAAGTGCCTTTAAGCCACATAATAATTAAATCAGTTAAGACTTGTGGTAAAGATAAAATCTTAAAAGCAGGGAGAAAAATCTCCATATTATATACAAAGAAACAGCACATAAGGAGTATAGCAAATTTCTCATTGGAAACAGTGCAAATAGAAGAAAATAGAGCAGAATCATTACAGTATTGGAGAAAAAAACCCAAAACAAACCTCTTGACTTATAATTCTTTGCTCAGCAAAATAACTTTAAAAGCAAAATGAAATAAAGATTTTTTTCTTACATACAAAATATGAAAGAATTCACTATCAGCAGATATATAGAAATCTTATATATTATATAATAAATATAAAGGGAATCCTTTAAGCAGAAGGAAGATGATAGCGGCTAGAAACTTGGAATAAAGAGTACTGGAAATGGTAACTACATGGGTAAATATAAAGACATTTTCTTGGGTCTGGGGATTTAGCTCAGCGGCATAAGCACCTGCTTTGCAAGCAGGCAGTCATGAGTTTGGTCCCCGGTACCAATAAAAACGAAAAAGACAAAAAAAAAAAAGATATGTAAAGACATTTTCTTATTATTTAAATCCCTTTAAAACACAATTGAAGCTTGGCATGATTGTACATACTGGGGGATCTGAGGCAGGAGGACTGAAAGTCTGAGCCTAGCCTAGACAGTTTAGTGACTTAGCAAGATCCCAGTTCTAAAGATAAAATTTAAAGAAGTGACTAGGGATACAGCTCAGTGTGAAGACCCTGGGTTGAGTCCTTAGTACCAATTTGTACACACAGAAAAGGGCTGGGGATATAGCTCAGTACAGAAGTCCTGAATTCAGTCTTTCAGTACTGCAAAATAAAACAAGGTTGACTTTTTTCACAGGGCTTGGGAAGGAACACAGGGGCTCACATATGCTAGACAAACCTCTGCCACTGAGCTGCACTCCAGCTCTATTAACTTTTTTTCTTTGTTTGGTAGTACTGGGTATTGAACCCAAGGAGCTCTGAGAATACTGTATGTGGAGTGTCATAATGTTACTTGAAAGTAGACTGAGTTAAAAGGAACTACTAACATAGCACAAAAAAGTAGACTGAGTTAGAACTAATAAGCCAAGAAAGAAAATAAAATGGAATTATAAAAATACTCAATACAAAAGAAGGCAGAACAGGAGCTGGGTGTGGTAGCTCATGCCTGTAATTCCAGCACTCGGGAGAATGAGACAGGAGGATCATTATGAGTTTGAGACCAGCCTGGACTACAAAGTGAGCTCAAGGCCTGCCCGAATTGCATAGAGAGACCCTGTCTCAAAAAGACAAAAAAAAAAGGTCAGAAAATGAGGAAATGGGGACAAAGTAGAGATGAGGCAAATGGAAAAAAACTATGGAGATTATATATTTAAACGCATAATATTGAATTACCTCATGAGATATATGTGATCTAGACAACCCCATTAGATTGAGTGAAGAAACAAGAATCAACTATATGCAGTCTGTAAGAATCTCACTTTAAAGACAGAAAAATATTAAAAGTAAAAGGATATAAAAGGGTTGACCATGCCAGGACTAATAAAAAAAGAGAGCTGGAGAGCTCATATTAAGATTAGACAAAGTAGACTTCACAACAAAGACTGTTACCAGGGATAAAGAGGGTCATTTCATAATAATGAAGGATCACTTCATCATGAAGACAATATAGATGCTCCTCAACTTACAATGCAGTTACATCCCAATAAACCCATCAAAAATCCATTTAAAGCCAGGAATTTAGCTCAGTGGCATAAGCACCTGCCTGGCAAGTGCAAGGTCATAGTTTGATCCCCGATACAAAAAAAAAAAAAAAATCCGTTTAAACTACTGAATATCATTGTTTAGCCTAGCTGTGTACATGTGCCCAGAATATTTACTTTAACTTACAGTTGGACAGAATCATCCACAAGGAATATTGTATAAAGTTACATTAAAGGTTTAATATACTGAAAACTACTGAAACTGAAAAATAATGGATATCTGGACATGATTTTTCATTATCATAAAGTTGAAAAATCATGTTAAGCCATCGTGAATCAGGGGATGTCTGTATCTACCTTTTAAGAGAGCTTTACATACATGCAACAGCAGGAGGCAGGAGGATTGCTGACAGTTTGAGGTCAGTCTAGGATACACAAGAGAGTTCAAGGCCAGCCTGCACTACTTAGTGAGACCCTGTCCCAAACAAAACAACACAACATAAATCAAAGGATAAAAAACAATGCTCCATGCAATAGGAAAAAAAAAACAATAAATACCCTAATTTCAGACAAAGCGAACTTCAAGGCAGAACTGCTTAGAACAGGCAAAGAAAGTCCCTGCATTTTGGTTAAGAGAACAATTCAACAAGAGGACAATAATGACATACATGAACCAAACATTAGCATACCCAGCTTCATAAAATAAACACTATTGGACCTTTTTTTAAAAACCTAGAAAAATACCAGCACTCTTATAATGGAGGACTCAATACCCTACCGTCACAAATAGATGAACTAGATTATTTTAAAAGTCAACAAAGAAATATCAGGGTTGAACCAAACCTTAAACAAATGAACCTAATAGATATTTATAGTGTTTTACCCAACAAAAACAGAATACACATTCTTCTCAACAGCACATGGATTTTTCTCCAAAATAGACCACATGCTAGTCCATAATGTATGCTTAAGTAAATGCAAAAGAATCAAAATTACATTTATGCATATTATCAGATCATAGTGCAATGAAACTAGAAATCAATGGCAAAGGAAACCTTAGTAATTATGCAAACATAGAAATTAAACAATACCCTCTTGAATAATCAGTGGGCCATAGAAGTAATCATGGAAAAAATCAGTTCCCAAAATCAAATGATAATGTCGCCACAACATTCCAGAACATAGGGGACACTATGAAAGCAGTTCTAAGGGGGATGTTTATAGCTGTAAATGCCATATCCCAACAGAGTGAGTCTGGTGTTATGGTTTATGTCTGGATGTCCCCCCAAAGCCTCATATGGTCATAGGGGCGGAGCTTTTTAGAGGCAGGTGAATCTAGAGTTTGTGATTGGCTCATTGTCTAGTGCTGAGATTGGGGATGTGAGTACCTATCTATGGTGGGTAGTCTGCATACAGTATAAGGGAGGAAAAGAGATTTGCTCTTCTCTTTTGGTCTTACTCTTTTTATTGTTTTTCACTGCCATGAATACTTACCCCTCTGCCATGCCACTCTACTTTGGAGCCAACTGATTCTGGACTTTTAAAACCTACAAATTGTGAACTAAATAAACATTTCCCTTCTTAACTTTGGATGTCAGGTATTTTTTCCCATCAATGAGAGCAATCCAAATTCAAAGCTAGTACAAAGAAGGAAATTATAAAGATCAGAACAGAAATTAATGAAATTGAGACTAAAAAAAAAATACAAAGAACCAGTGAATCAAGGACTTGGTTCTTTAAAAGAATAAAGAAACTCCTTAGTCTATCTTAACCCCCTCAAAGAAAGAAAAGACCCAGGTGGAAATAACAAAAGGTGAAATTAAAAGAGACTCTGCTGAAATCCAGATTATTAGTAAACTACATACTTTGAGAACCTATACTCTAATAAAATGGAGAATTAGAAGAAGTGGATAGATTCCTTGATACATATGAATTACCAGAGCTAAACCAGGAAAACATAAAAACCCTATACAACTCAGTATCAGGCAGTGAGATTAAAGAAAGGGGGAAAAAAAGGTACCAACTAAGAAAAGCTCAGGTTCCGATACATTCATTCCTATAGGAATGCCTGTACTCCTCAAACTCTTTAATGCCAATATGTCTCAATCTCTTTAATCAAATTCAAAGGGAAGGAGTACTCCCAAAGCTATTCCTGGAAGTAGTGTTACTCTGATTCCAAAATAAGAAAAGGATCCAACCAAAAAAAAAGAGAAATATAGGCTAATCTCTTTAATGAACATCAACACAAAATTACTCATCAAGATACTGGCAAGGGCCAGGGGTTTAGCTCAGTGGCACAAGCACCTGCCTGGCAGGTACAAAGGGTGTGAGTTTGATCCGTGATACCAAAAAAAAAAAAAAAAAAAAAAAAAAAAAAGGTACTGGCAAACAGAATGCAACAAATCATCAGAAAGATCATACATCATGACCAAGTAGGATTTGTCCTAGGGTTGCAGGGATGGTTTGACACACACAAATCAGTAAATAAAACTCATCATGTAAACAGAAACAAGGACAAAAGTCACACAATCATCTCAATTGACTCAGAAAAAGCCTTACATAAAATCCAACATCCATTCATGATTCTGAAAAAAAAAACCTAAAGAAAAGGTAT